CTGTTTAAACTCAATTACTGAATTCAGGAAAGTTTGTAAAATGAAGCAAAAAGTTTTTACCTAAGAAAACAAATCATCTGCTTCCTCCCCCACCACCCACAGGTAAAACAAAAAAAGAAAATTATCTTTCTACTTAGTCAAATGTGATTTCTTTGCGGGGAAAAGCAATGTGAAAGCATACAAGGAATTGGGATTAGAAAGGATAGGGGACGAGTTGGGAACAGCAAATACTAATTTGACGTCAGCGTGGATTAGTCAGGAGCCTCAGTGCCTCTGAGCCAGAACTGCCATTCCTGGTAAACTGTGAGTAAAGAAAATCTTCCTGGTCTCTGTCCTGAAATTGCTCTTTACAACTGTAAACCTGTATCCTCTTGTTCTACTGTCTTGATGCATCCTGAAGTATTGAACTGGGTTTATGTTTTCAATTACATTTATAATTTTATACATCTCTATAACATCCCCTCTCAATCATCTTCTCGCGAGGCTGAAGAGCTTGAGCTTGGCTAATCTTCACTCATACAACAACTTGCATTTATATAGTGCCCCTCATGCAGGGTAACGTCTCAGAGCTTAGCTCCTTCCCCTAACACGTGGAAAATTTGTCATCTCCTCTGCACCGTCTCCAGGGCAGCACATTAAGTGCGTGACCAGAACTGTCTGCAGTATTCAAGTTGCGGCCTGACCGGAGCACTGGATGGCCCGAGTGTGACAACAACAACAAGATTTCATTTATAGAGCGCCTTTCACGTCGGGAGGACGTCCCAAGGCGCTGGACAATTGGGTCGGGACCCGAGCAGGGGGGAAATGGTCAGGGTGAGGGGAGGGAAGGGAGGGAGCGAGGAGGGGGTAAGAGAGTCGAGAGAGGAGCTGAAGGCACGGTCAAAGAGAAAGGTCTTGAGACCGACCTTGAAGGAGGAAAGGGAGGAAGTGGCGAAGGCACTGGGGGATGGAGTTCCAGAGCCTCGGGGCTGAGAGGCTGAAGGCCCGGCCACCGATGGTAGGGCGGTTGGGGCGGGGGATGTGAAGCAGACCGGAGCCAGAGGAACGGAGGGTATGGGCAGGTAAGTAGGGGATAGTAGGTCAGAGAGGTAGGAGGGAGCGAGGCCGTGAATGGCCTTGTAGATGAGGATCTTGAATTCGATCCTCTGGGGGATGGGGAGCCAGTGGAGGCGAACGAGGGTGGGAGTGATGTGGGTGCGGTGTCTGGTGTGGGACAGTACACAAGCTGCAGAGTTCTGAATGACCTGCAGTGTGGAGGGAGGGCCGGGAAGGCCGGCGAGGAGAGAGTTCCCATAGTCCAGCCTTGAGGTGATAAAGGCGTGGACCAGAGTTTCAGCCGCGTGAGGGGTGACGTCTGGAAATCTAAACTCAACTGATTTAGCAACATAGCCCAACATCCTGTTTGCCTTATTCATTGCTGACACAGTGAGCGACGAGTCAACTAAGACCCCTCGATCGCTGTCAGCTTCTTCTCTTGGTGAGTTCTATCCTATCCAGGGAACACTTGTTCCCTACTCTGAGGACCCCGACAGCTAGCGCCTTGCGTTCATCAACATTAAGCTTCAATTACCGGTTATCAGCCCGTGGGTGCGTACCCTAGCGAGCTTTAGAAAAAAAAATTGCCGCCCCTCTGATTCCACAGTCCCCCCAATTTGGTGTCATCTGCAAATGTAACTATCTTACACTGGGTCTGTGGATCCAGGTCAGTAAACTGGTTACAGCAGTAACAGGAGGGTCCCAGGACAGACCCCCGAGGCACCTGCTGAATCCCCCTCCCCCATTGTGACCTGGCTCCCCTGACAAACACCCTCGGATTCCTCCCCTTCTTGCCCACTTGACGCTCAGTGGCCACGATTTGCCCGTTTAAATGAGTCATTTTTTTTTCAAAATCCTGTAAAATTTTAAAATTCCCGCCCAAAGCTGCTTTCACCCACAGGACAACACACGCGCCCGCCCATTGGCCGACACCGGCCCTGACCTCTGACCCCCGCGCCTGAGGGCGGGGTCTGAGCCGCTTCACAGCGACACCATTGGTCGCTGTCTCACGGGCGCGAGGAGAGCCGGATGTACGTCGCACGGGAGGTTTGATGCCGCCCCTATAGGGCGGGTTGGCCGCCGCTGATTGGTTCCCGGCCCTGCCCGTCGTCCGGTTGCCCCCACGCCGCCCGGGTCACGTGGCGCCGGCTGCCCAATGGCAGCGGTGACAGGCTGCGCGCGCGGTGGGCGCCAAGAGCCGCGGCGCCGGGAGAGGATGTGAGGGAACTGCCGCCGCCGCCGCCCGGGCCCGCAGCGGGTAAGTCAGGCTCTCGGGCCCCTGGGCCGGGTCCCGTGCGCCCAGCCAGCGTCCCCCTCCCCTCGAGGGGGTGGCGTGGGGCTGCGGCTTCCTGAGGGTGAGGTGGGGGGCGCGGGGCTGACTGGGGGTGTGGGGTGGGGGGGCTTTGTTAGCGCAGTGTTGTTGTTGTTGTGCTGAGTGTCTGCACAGGTCATTTACTGTGTCTGACCCTGTGTGTGTGTGTGTGTGGTTTGTTTTCCAGTGTCCTCTCAGCCCTGTAGCTGCATGTTTCAGGCTGTTTAGAGCTGCTCTGTCTGTGTCCAACTGTTGTGCCCCATGTCTGTGAGCTGCGTTGCTGATCAGAGACTGACTGCATCCTAAGCGCTCAGACTTCTGGTTACACAACAATAATAATAATAATAATAATAATAATCCTTGCAACTGATATCCTGGTGTTGAGATGTCTCAAAGTGCTTCACAGGATGCGCTATAAAGTGGAGTGTCTGTGAGCGATTTGAGTTGCTGATCGGAGATGAAGCACCAAGAATTCTGAGTTTATATGTGTTAGTAGCACTCGTGGGGGGGTCGAGAGAGTACAGTACTTGTGTGTATTGCGCCTTGGGACGTCCTCCATATGTGAACGGCGTTATATAACTTCAATTTTTTTACATTACGCTATTGTCACTCTGTGAGCAATGAGGGTAGTATGGTATGGTAGGATAAATGGGTGTTAGACTTTTTAACGTCCTTAAGTATTTTATCTGCCATGTCACAGTGTCATGAAACCTCTTTTGTACTTCGCTTTGTATGGGAGTATGTTGAGACAATAGCCAGGAGCCAGATGGCTGATACAACAGTTTTTGAATTAGCAAAGGAGTTGGAACATCCCAATATCTGTGGTGTGACTTCATAATAATGTGTGCATCTTGCGTCTTGCATTGGGATGTGGAGAAGGAGCTTATGGGAAACTTTTTTAGGAATTTGATCCTAAAGATTTGTTGATTTGATTTTGCCGGATCTAATGTGTTCTTATCAAACGTTCAAGGTAAATAGAATGAATCTGTGGCTCCTAGTAGAAAGTGGAAATTCTGAATTAAATCCTGATCGGATTATATACTTTTGGGTGTGTGTAAGGTGTAATTATTTCATAATTTTGGTCTTTCTAGGCTTGAATCTAGTGAATTTCATTAGTTCACTTAAATGTTTTCAATCATTGCTGTGAAGACTGAGGATATTATTTCAATCAGATAATGCGAATGCAAACCTGGTTCAGTCGTTTGCACTCAAGACTCAGAATGTTAGAAGCTTGTTGTTGTCGAGCTCCGTGTTAGGACTTTGGAATCATTGGGGTCCTGGATTAGCCAGACGTTAAACTGAGGTCCCCTCTGCCGGTTTAGGTAAATGTTAAAGATCCTGACACTATTCAAAAAGAGAATGGAGTTTCTCCTGTTATAGAATTATTCATTTACTTATTGACTATTTGTGGAACATTGCTGGGTGCAGGTTGGTTGCCATGTTTCGTCTATAAATACCCAGTCCACTTTACAGTGAAATATTGATGTCTCGTTGATGTGATAAGATGCAATATCAAATGCAAGAATTATTTATAACATCATCCATTTGTGTACACTGTCTTAGATTTAGATAATAAAATCAAATTTTGTAAATTCTAATTGTAAATTATTGTAAGTATGTCAGATTGAATGTGGCTGTAGCCACTTTTGCTGGACAAATCATTGTGATGGACGTTTAGATGGAAGGATTGCATTTGATTGATCACTGGGGATGATACTGTGTTGATAAATATGTATAAAGCATTTTAAGTATTTAGGAACTGGACATAACATTTCCAACTTTTCCTTTTAAAAGCCTTACAAGTAAAATCCTCAAAAGCCTACAAAATGCAGTGTCAGGAAAGTTGGTGCTCAGAGTTCAGTTAAAAGCTCAGGTCACAAAATTGGCTCCTGATTTTTTTTTTGGGGGGGAGGGGGTAAGAACAAGGTTTGTGCAAGTCTATGCGTAACATCGGATATTTAGATTTGTACGTATAATATATAAACAATTGAGTTCAGTATCCTTTCCTAACCCGAAGTACGATTGCATGGGTGGACATGCCAAGTGATGGCTGGGCTTGAGTGACCTCCGTCGGAAAAAATTTCAAAGTCTCTTGTGAGGCAGTAGGAAGTTTTATATATATACATATAATATTATATATATATATTTTTTCTTGGTGAATGCTTTGTAGATAAGAGAGTGTCCCTGGCTGAAGAAGTGGGGGGGGAATGAATCTGGGTGGTTGGGGGTGGGGTGGGTATTGAAGTGTTTTGTGGAGGGGTGGGTTGGCTGTGGGGGTGGGGGGTGAGGATGGGGGTGTGGGTGGGGGGTGATGTCTCTCCACATTGTGCTGAAGTTTGGGGAAAACAGCTGTGATGACGTAGCAATCAAAGTTCAGAGGCAGACAGAGAGAGGGAGAAGGAGAGAGAGGAGGGAAGGAGAGAGAGAGAGAGCGCGCGTGTGTGTGTGTGTGGAGTGGAGTGGGTGTTGTGAACATTTTCCAGCTCGAGCTCCCGGTGGCGGGGGGTGGGGTGTGGGGTGTGGGGGGGACCGCGGATTGTCGGGGGGGAGAGGGGGCGCAACAGCTGTTGGTCTCGTGCGTTCATTGCCGTCGTCCTCCCCCACCACCATTTTTTTGAGGGAGAAGGGGAGAGGGAGAGAGAGAGACAGAGGAGGGGGAAAAAAACCCCCCCACCAGCACAGGACCGTGTCTGGGACTATGAACCTTTGGCCGCTCAGACCCCGCACGAGGAGGCCGAGCCCATGGTGAGGAGGAGGAAGCCGGTGGAGCAAGCCGAGGAGCGCCAGGATGGGTACGGGGACGGCGGGGAGGGGGGGAGGACACTTTCGGCGGCCCGACTGCTGTCGGCCTCCACCCCGGGTTTCTCGCCGACCCCGACCCCCCGACTTGACTTGACCGGGCGGGCGGGACGGACAGAGCGGTCCGGGTGGGGTGGAAAGGCGAAGGGAAAGGGGTGGGTGACGGAGGGGGAAGGAATCGGGAGAAAAACAACGGCGGCCATGTTGTTAACACACACACACACACCCACACACCAAAAAAAAATTGTTCAGAGCTACAACTTAAATGGTTTTTTTTTTATATTGTGTGTGTGTGTGTGTGTGTGTGTTTTTTTGTGGCTGATTTTTGTTTGGGCCGTCTCTTCTCTTCTCTTTTCTTCTCTTCCCTCTCTCTCTCTTCCCCCCACACACACACTCACACACTCTCTCCCTCTCTCCCTCTCCACCCCTCCAGGATGACGGCGAGGTGTGTGGCTGATGAGGGGCTGAAGCCATTGTGCAAAAGGTCTGGGGAAGAGGAGAGCGCAGAGGGAGATGGTGAGAGTGAAGGAGGTGGAGGAGGAGGTGGAGGTGGCGGAGGAGGAGGAGGCGGCGGCAGCAGCAGCTCTCAACACAACACAAAGAGAGAAGATCCCTCAGCCACGGCTGTTGGCACCAGCCAGGATCAACATCATTTCTTAAGATCCAGCGTCAGGCCGCCCAGCAAGAGGTTACGGAAAGATTCCACCACTTGCAACGGATCCAATGCCTCCCAAAACAATAAAGGAAAAGGTATATTATTTTTTTTAAAAAAAACACAAGAGAAGGGCGGACGTTGCTTGTCCTGGTCAGGTTGGGTGGCAGCGCATTCATTGCAGTCGGTCCTCAAGTGTGTGAGTCAAGCAGCTATATGCCTAGAAATGAATCTCACAAGGGGAAAATATCTTTGTAAGGGGAAGGGGGAAAAAAAAACGATAAATTTTGGATGCTCCCAAGAAGTTATGTTGATACTATTTTCACTCTTAAAATACAAAATATTGAAGGAGTCCTTTGAAACCCTTGGCTCACTGGCTTAATACAGAGACCCTGCAATGGAAATCACTCGAAGAAAACCATTACAACAAAAACTTGCACTTATATTAGCGCTCACCATGCAGGGTAGCGTCTCAGAGCACTTAACAGTGGTGGAGCCTGTCTCCGAGCTGGTGGGATGGGGGCGGGGGCTCAGAGTCAGCCTGACAACTATATTCAGTATGTCTGTGTGTATAATATACTGTATATGTGTGTGCCTGAACATATAAAATATATTTTCATAAATTCAATCTAAGTGCGCACACGTACCCAAGTGGAATCCAGTAAGCCATGTGACTGCAGGCAGCTCGGTTTTCAATGGAACAACAAATCCAGCAAACGTGCTGTAGGAAGCGGCTGTCCTGTGTGACAACAATATATTTTAAATCATTGAAAATATTATAAGACTCAAATGACATTCATCCCGGATGAACAATATTATGTGATAAATGCACTACTTGTGATAGTGAAATGAACTGACTCTTGTTGGTGAGGTTTCCTTCACATTCTGTCAGCGGCGCATTATTCAAATGTCATTGCTATAATCCCATTCATCTATGTGGGTCAATGACTAATGTATACTTAAATGCTACATAATATATTCCTTCTATAATAAGTAAAGGTTAATGTCCATTATGACCTTTCAGTTTCTATTTCATATTACACACTGGGAGAAACTCTTTTCAGATGGTGCCATGGAATCTTTGATACCCACTTGAACAGGTACAGGCGGGACCTTGGTTAATGTTTCACTTGAAGGATGATGCCTCCGCCATTGCAGCACTCCCCTATTATGCAGCGTTGTCAGCCTGCACTGTGACCTTAATGTCCTGACGTGGGATGGCATTGTTATGCCGTTGTCGAAACACCCTGATTGTCCAGGGCCCTGGGACGTCTTTCTGACGTGAAAGGTGCTATACAAATGTAATTTGCTGTTGTTACTTTTTCACTTACACCATGCAGTCTCTTTTCACATATTCAGCAATGTAGTGTAGCATAACTGGCATCTGTCAGATACTTCTACTGTTCATATACTATTTGGACATTCCTCTTACAGTTTCTGAAGTTATCCGAAGTAATTAATTTACTTCCTTGTATTTACCCTCACTGCCAGGTATAAATTGACAGTGATTCTGATACTGTTCTGCAGTATGGACTTTGGGGTCTAATTTCCATGATTCAAATTGCATGATTTATTGCCTTAATTGTAGCATCTGCTGTGCGCAATTGGCTGCTGCATTTCGCCCACAAAATACACAGTCAATTCACTTGGCCATCACAAGTAAATTATTCCTTACACCCTCCATTTTCTTAAAATATTCCAGTTATCATTCTCAGTCAAATACCTCCTGCAACATCACACCATTGCAGAAACCAACGAATACCAAGATTAATCGTACAGTTTTCATCTTATTCCATGATTTGAAAGAATTATAAAGCATACAAGCTTTGATCTTACAGTTTGATATGAGATTTCTGCTTTATAAACAGTCTCAGTGCATCCGTTAATTTCATATGATTCAACTTGAGGTATAACAAGGGAAATGCTTTGTAGTTCTAAAGCAGTCTGAGAATGATAACTTGAACATGTTAAGAAAATAGAAGGTGTAAGGAATAATTTACTTGTGATGGCCAAATTTACAATGTTCTTATCCATTCCTCTGAGAAGTTGATTCTGTTTTACCATCGCCAGTTGAGATCCTCTAACCCAGAACAAATTGAGACTGGCCTGGTCTCTACCAGTATCACAATATATTGTAAAGGGCTGGAATTGCAACTTGTTAGATAAAAATAAACTGCTGCACCTTTTTGCTATTCATTTTAAGGCTTCAGGTTTGGTGCCACTTCTTAATGCCAGGAGTGTCACTTGCCAATTGTAGCACTGGTGACAATCTCATTATGTGTTCAAGACTAAGGTTTCCCATCATGAACACGCAGATGATATTGTTGGTGATCCATGTAACATAAACATCTACATCTACCAAACAATAATTCGGCTCAAGGGTTTGGTTGATTTTACAACTGTTTCTGAATTGGTAAACACTGGTATGTTTCCAAGTCACATGCTCCAGTATCTACTATAAATGGCCATTATGTCCAGCTATTGCAGCTTGAATTCTGTTAACACTGAGTGTTGAATATAGTAAAGTCGATTCCTGCAGAATTCCTGCCATTAGTGTCAAACTTACATTTTTGAACAGATTTTAATGTTATCTGTGTACTTTCTGCAGGTCCTGAGGGAGGAGCTTCCACCTCTAGCTGCACATCTGGCATTGCCGTGGGCACAGCTGGAGGGAGCAGTAAAGGCACTGGCAAGAATTTATCTTCGATCTCGGGAGAAAAGGAGGAAGGGAATAAGAAGAAGGCTCGTAGGCAGTGGGAGTCCTGGAGTGCAGAGGACAAAAACTCCTTTTTTGAAGGGCTGTATGAGGTACATGTCGTGTCTGGACTGAAGGGTTAAGTGTTTTTATGCAATATCACTGCTGCACAACATCCATCCATGTGTGTGCAGATACATTCTGTAATACTTGTAGTTTAGAAGATGATTTGATTAAGAATTAAACTTCCCATTATGCAGAGATAAAATTGATTGCTATGGTGTCAATGCTCAACTCTTTAAGTGAGGTTGTCACGTAAGGATTGTTTAATCTCCTCCCAACTTCTAATAGTGTCATGGATTTACTTTTATCTGTCAGGCGCAAGATTAGTATTGCAGTGCAGGGCACCAGTTGGAAGTAAGCAGTAAGTTAAAAGCTGTAGTTTTACAGAAGATGCCAATCCCAGATGGTAGTGCCAGGATGTGGTGCTTTGCTGGAGGTAGAGAGCAATCTGGAGATCTGTTTTGGATTTGCCATGCAGTGTATCTGTGGTTTCAGTGACCTGATCATTTGTTTGTAAGTACAGCGTTACTTGGGTGTACAGCATCAGGTAGATGACTTAGACTGCGACTTTGCATGAAGAGATGCACAGTGACAACACAATGTTAAACGCAAAAGATTTTATCATTTTCACCAGGTTTTATGTCTCCACCCCCCTATGCTTATTAGTGATTAACAAAGAGGACCTTGTCTGTGTAAACACTGTGAAACCCTGTTACGTTGTGGATTTGACGATAACGAAAATTATCTAAAAATTAAAAATCCTCACATCAGCCTTCCAAATCTGTCCGCGTGATTCACATCCTGTCAGTGTAACAATGGGATGTCAGGCACATTGCTTGGGCTGAGAAGGTACTTTGTGCCCGCAGTGATGTTACTGGACATGTGATCAGCGCTGGTACAGCGGTGAGGGTGGGGGCTGACTACTGGCAGCTGTGATCCTACCCCTTTTATGAGGCCGGTCGGAATTTTATCCCCCCTCCAACTGCTGCCTTGTATTGCGATTGTACTGCTTTCTGTTTTCTAATTAATGATTAAAATGTTGCTTAGAGTTGATCTGTTTAATATTTTCCTTTGGAATGTTGGATCTGTCTGGTGGAATTGCAGTGATGTATTTGGGTGTAATGTAACATTATTTTCTTTCCCTTTGTCGTTGGGTTTTCCCAGGCCACGTATTACAAGATATCTGTTCCCAGGAACTTTCTAAGTGCAGCCACTGGGGAGTTCCCTAGAGTAGCTTTGGGTGATTTCCCTTCCTATGGGTTTTGACTGGTCTGTTGGCACTTTCTTGCTGATCTGGGGAGTGTGTGTGTGTAATAGGGAGATGCCCTCAGCCACCACTCAGTGATCCCATGTGTTCTATATATCGTGACTGCTCTTTTTATAATTAATAACCTCCCAAATTCTTCTCTGTGTGCTCAATGATTCTTTATTCACAACAACACCCAGACTATTTCAATTGAATAATTCAAAAACGTGATTTTGGTATTTTATTTTCTGTAGCATGGGAAGGATTTTGAAGCCATACAGAATAACATTGCTCTGAAGTATAAGAAGAAAGGAAAACCGGCCAGTATGGTGAAAAACAAGGAGCAGGTTCGGCATTTCTACTATCGCACGTGGCACAAAATCTCCAAATACATCGACTTCAACAACGGTGAGTGTCGCCCCCTCCCTGTGGGAGGCATTGCATTGTTTCTCTTGTGATGATAATACTCGCATTTGATACCTAGCGCATGAGGAGGATGTCTCATGAAAACACTTCAAGATTTTACTATGAAGTGTAGTGACTGTATTTGTCAGCGAACAATGTTAATCAGGAGTAGACTTGTCTAGTCTTGTCCTGTCAAGCCATCAGGGACGCTACTCCGAGTGAAGGGGGCTATATAAATGCTTGTTGTTATTGTTTAAAAGTGGTGTGCAGTAGTTGTGGGAAGATAGTTCTGTGCATTAGATGAAGAATGTGCTGTCTGCATTTACCTGTGGTTTTCCAGCAGTGTAGATAGAGGATAGTAGGTTCTTCACAGTTTCTAGAAAAAGTAAAATAACCTGGTATTATTTGTGGCCTCAGATTATTATCTGATAGTTTATAATATCTGCAGTCAGTGATATGGAAAATACCGCTGCCGTCCATTGCAAAGTATATAAAACTTGTTGAGTTTGTGGCAGCAATAATCCTGTTTTAGGACTGAGATACTGACAAATTCCTCGAATTACAGTTTTGGTTTGGGCCCTTCTGAAATCCCTCAGTGCGATTATGTTTGATTAATCTTTGAATCTATTCCTTGCCATTCAGAATGTCCTATTTAAGGTGCCCAGGCCATAGAATTTCTTTATAGTAAATCGCAATAAACTTGACATTGAATCCTTTGGAGTAAGAATGTTCCTGTAAATCAGTGGCCTGACCAGTTCCAAAAGTTGCTCTTCTAGTTTAAGACATAATTCTCTTGACTACGTTGTTTGAGTAAATACATCCTGCTGACTCTTTCTTTGTATGAACCTCGTAACTTTATATTGCTTTATATTTCGAGCCGGTATCAAAGTATTGTCCTACTGAGATTTGGGTAAAAGGTGTATTTGTAAATGGCGTTCAATTGACAAGATTTCCAATTTCACAGTTTTAAATAGTGTTCTAATTAATCAGAATTTGGTGTAAATGGTGTGCAGTTGTCTAGTCAGTAAAATTATGAGAATAAGTAACCTGCAGGAAAGTGGCAGCTTTTTCCCCCAAAATAAATTTGTTATTCAAATAAGCAAAGCTATAGAACAATGCCTGCCCACCGTTGATGCTCATCCAGTTTCCTAGGCAAACTGTGGAAAAAAAGGACCTGCAATGAGACCACATCTCTACTCTGACTGACTGACTGACTGAATTGCTGAGGGTGACTGAATGCAGCTATTCAGCCCATTCTTACTCCATTGAGAATGAAGTTTCTCCCGGTATCCTGACCAACAATTTCTCCCCCCCAAATAAAATTGGTCATTGTTTTCATGGCTGTTTGTGGGACATTGCTGTGCAAAATTGTGCTGCAGAAAAATCAGTCACTCCATTTCACAGTGAATCCTGTGAAGTACTTTGAGGCGTCCTTGTGACATCATAAGGCGCTATATGAAATGCAAGGATTATTATTTATTATTAATATTGAACTCATGCGGATTATTATTTGTTCATGAAACCGTGGCATTTGGAATTGTTGACAAATGTTAATTTTCCAAGTAATTTTGTGTTTCTCCAGAAGTGCAGTTAACCCACACCTTTCTCCAGTGATTGGGAAACACAGATGAACATCAACTGTTCGCCATACTTTCCTGTTTCTGCTGTATTTTGCAGATATACCCTTGGCTTGTTGTGTTCTATTGTGCTGTGCAGTCTGATTGCAAGTGGTTTCTGGCTGTAGGCTGCAACTCCCACTGGTTATATGATTCGGGTCGGCCAGCATTTCTTCTTTGAACTCTTAAAATCTCAATTACATAGGAATAATTTCTGAAAATTGCTCTCATTGCAAAATTATTCCTGTGAGACCTGTTGATCTGATTCCAGTATTAAAAAGATGAGTCTCTCCACAGGCCCTGGGACAACAGTGAACGGTAGTAGATAAACACTCGAGCTAAAGAGCAGAATTCTGCAGCAGCCTTTCTAATGCTTTGTTTTCCAGCTGCTGTTATAACACAGTTTTGGACGTGCTGTTTATTGACTGACTGCAGGAGTGTGAAAAAGGCAGGGCACCTATTGAAATGCATTCCATCACGTACTTGACCAAAAATAACCCAGAACAAATGCTCTAATTATATATTTGTTATTTTGGAGGTTCTCCCAGCACTATTTTGGGGTCAGTGACACTTGTGCGGGTGATTCACCATAGGACAGCACTGGTGCAGTTGATAACACTCTCGCCTCCGAGTCAGAAAGTTGTGGGCTGAAACCCCACATTGGGACTTCATATCCACAAGACATCCCAGAGCGCTTTGCCGTATAATACTGTAGAGTGTAGTTACTGTGGTTTTTTTGTGTGTGGACGATCACGACAGCCAAGTTGCACACTTCGTAGTCCCACAAGCAGCCGTGGAGCGGGATTGTTGGCCATGTGCCATGGGAACTTTAAAACTTAAATGTCCACTTGAACAGGCAGACAGGCCTCAGTCTGATATCTCATCCAAAGGATGGCACTCTCCACAATCTCCACTGTCCCCCCCACCACCACCCCCGGAATGGAACTGGGGTGTCAACTTACATTAGCTCGAAGAGCGGATGTGAGGCTTAAACACACAACCTTCTGACTCTGAGGCGAGACTTCTGTTTACTAAGCCAAGCCTATCCACAAATTGAGCCAAACTGACATATAGTCTATCAAGGCATTCCATTGCGATGGTGGGTGTGTGCTACATTGTTGGAGATGCCATTCTTTGGACGAGATGTTATACTGAGGTCCTGCTTTCCTGTTTGCTTGACCAGATGGATGTTATGGGACATTGTTGTGCGGAAATTGGCTGCCGCGTTTGCCCACCAAATAAATAGCTATACCACTTGATGGTATGTTTGGTGAAGTGCATTGAGATGTCTCGACAATGTGATGAGGTGTTGTATCAAATGCAAGAATTTCATCTTTATCACTTTTGCTGCATGTGGGTACCCTAGTAAAAGAGATGCATCCTCATTCTTAAAAAGTACTTTTTTTAAAAATGTCTTTCTTTTCACAGTGTTCTCCCGAGGGCTGAAGAAATCCTCCCAGGAGCTTTACGGGCTAATCTGTTATGGGGAACTTCGCAAGAAAATTGGCGGATGTGAGTATTCTTTGGGATCTAGCAAAGGGGCAGATACATTGTGATTACTGCAATAAAAATGGTGCATTTGGATCCAGAGGTTCTACTAAGCAGATATCACAAGTAACATTTTTGAAATAATATTAATAAATCCCTGAGACAGGTATGTCTGCAGTACTCCAGGGTACTGCTGTTGACTTGGCAGGACTTGGAGAGACAGACCAGTCACTGGGAGCAGCACTGTTGCAAGTTAACAGTCCCTCCATCTTGCCTCTTTCCGTCTCAAGAACCTCCTCTTCGACCGTGCCTTTGATCACCCTCCTATCCTTCCCCTCCTGATCCCAACCACCAGCTTGGGTGCGGTTCCCTGGCTGTCCAGCACCTTGGGACATCCTCCTGACGTGAAAGGCGCTATACAAATGTAATTTGTTGATGATGTTGTTGTTGCCCTTGTTGTTGCAAGCCAAATCCCTAATGGGTAGTTCCAGACTCAGGAATATTTCCATGTATTGGTATCATACATGTGTGAGACTCAGTTTGGTTTGGATGTGTTTTTTAAATCATTAATTGTTCTGTACATCCCAGTTAGTATTTGTTTTAAGAAATGTTTTAAGAATTCTGTACAGGCCGGTATTAGGATAGCCTCATATTTTGAACCAAGACCATGTGGCCTCAAAAGAAAAAACAACAATTAACTTGTCTAATATTCTGAAGTGTTGATTATTTTAATGCCTCGTTTCACAGGCATGGATGACAAAAATGCAGCTAAACTCAATGAATTGATTCACGCTGGGTAAGTGACTTTCTTATTTTAAAAGATAAATAGTGTGATTGGTTTTGGCTCAGTGTCAAACTACGCCACTGTTACGGGATGCTATTGAGCATGAAGGATGCTTTTTAAGTGCAAATTGTTGTTGATTGCAATCTGAGGACTGCTGCTTAATAGCCTCTGGGTCAGGTTGCAGATTGTCCAGCTCTGGAATATATTGCTGCCCATTTTAACCTACTGAATCTAGCCCTCGAAAGTCTTGCTGGGATTTGTTTTATTAAAGTGTAATGGATGCTAATTTTATATATCCTGAATGCAGAAACAGGCATGCTGCAAAGGTGCCAGGGATTTTGTTATGAACAAAATTGTTCATAACAAATTGTTCAACTGTTTGTTGGTTGCTTCAGCACTGCTAATTTTGATTCCTGTTGTGTTTGCCTAGCTGTACAGAAAAGATTTTGATAGCTAGCTGGTCATGTCTGTAAATGTCTGGCACTATGATTGTGACTTCTGAGTACTTGTGCATTTCCTGGTTAAACTAACGCTCCTAATGCAGTGTGCTGCATTGTTGGAAATGCCATCCTTCAGATGAGGTCCTGTCTGCCTGTTCTAGGAGACGTTAAAGTTCCAATCGCACCATTGGTGTCCTGGCCAACCATCCCCCACGTAAAATTGGGCACTCAATTCATAGTTGTTTGTGGGACAAATTGCCTGCTGCAGTCACCGACAAAACACACATTTTTACATTTTACAGACGTCCTCCCGACGAGAAAGGGACTATACCAATGCAAGATTATTTATTTATTATTTACAATAATAATCCTTGCATTTGATATAGCGCCTTATCACACGTCTTCGAGCTGTCTCAAAGGGCTTCACAGAATATACTGTAAAGTGAATTGATTGTATATTTTGCTGGTGAAATGCGTGGATTGAGTGACCCAATTTATTTTTTATTTGGAAGGAATTATTACCCCTGGTAAAGCGATCCGCCAATCGACTTAACAACCGGGATCCTACTTACTACTAGGTAAACAGAGGCGTGTGGAGTAAGGAAACTTGCCAACATTTCGCCCTCCTGGGAATCGAACCCAGGTCTCGCTTGTGAGGCGAGCGCTCTAATCACTGAGCTACAGGATTCTTTATTAAGAAATTAGAACTTGTGGCTCTCATTGCTAATGGTTGATGGTACAAATTTGCTTTTTAATGCTTCTGAAAAAGCTAATTGGATGTTGAATTTACTTGATTTCTTTTTCTGCGTTGGTTAAAATGTGAGGACATTTCTATTTGATTCAGGGCGACCACAGTCCGATACAAAGGCCGAAACCTACGGATAAAGGCACCAATGTGCCGAGCTTTAAAAAAACTCTGTGATCCTGACGGTAAGTTCCAGAGAGGCTGTGACTGAACTATTCTGAGAATGCAGTAGAGATGAAATACCTGAGTGAGATTCTTCAGGGAAAAAAGTCGACAACCAAGGAATCTGAGGTAATCAGCCGAGATGAAGGCCTGTTGCTGGTGGGTGTGAGTTGCTTTCATTGGCTCGATGTTGGAAAAAACAAATGATTGAAAGTAAGCAGGAACTAGTGGCATCAAGGAGCAGTCACTGTGTGGATGTATGACTGTCCAGATTTAAGGGCAAGTTTTAGACTTCACTAAAGTCTAAAGAATCTAAAAAAGCTTACTTCCTCCTGTTAGTCGTTGCATGTCCACTTCTGGTAATATTCTGCTTTAGTAGAGGTCACCAGGGTCTCCTCGGGGCTGACCTGGTTGCAAGGTGAGATATTTGGCAATGGAATGTTGGAATGGAGTCAATCCTCTAATAGTCTCTAGTCTAGTTCCTGAGCCAGGTGGGTCTGCAGTACTCCAGGGAACTGCTGATATCAGCCTGGCTCATTGATAAGAATTGGAAGAGCAGACTCTGGGAGCAAGGACACTTCCCACTTGTTTTCTATTAATCCCGCAAGCCGAAGCCCTAGCTTGACAAACCGTGGGAAACTTGCCTGATAGTGCTCTCAATGGCAAGCTATGCAGTTTTAGCTGGTTTCCAGCAGTTACTCCAGTGCACACTCTGGGGTCACCAAGCCTCTTGCTAACCTGCACCGAATACTCTCTGGAATTAGGTAAGCAAGGTGTAACCCTCCAGGGAGAGAGTATGCATTCCATTCTAGATGTATGGAAATGTCCATGTAGATAGTAAACATGTGCAACTGTCTGCTCTGACTACTGATAACACGGTGATGAGGTTTGTATGTGCCAGACATCGGCTGTGGCCAAATAAAAATGATAGCATCATTACCAAATAACCAGACAGAATCTATTAATCAACGCGTATAATTACACTTGCAAGGTTTGCATGTGTGAAAGAATATAATTATTGTCTTGTGTGCCAGGAATGGGAGTGAAGAGTCTTGCTTTTCCTTGTAAAATGTTCACCAAGGTCACAACAGCCTGTTGCTTGTGAGTTGGGAGATGTTCTGCCTGTGTGTCTGAAATATAAATGAGGATTTCACATAGAATCTGTCACACATTAAATAGGGTAATAGATAGTGGTTGGTAAATTGCAAGGCTGCCATTTAATCAAGGCTTTCTGATCTGTTCATTGTTTGAAACTGATGTTTCTGTGATCTGTCCTCGTTTTCTATTCTCTTAAGTGAGGATGCCTGTTCATATCTGTATGGCTTTGTCTGAACGCTGTCAGAACCGCCATTTTAACAAAAATAAATCGTGAATAAATATGGTCATGTGCATCCTTTGATTGTTGTCTTTTCATTGCTCTCAGGTATTAGTGATGAAGAGGATCAGAAACCCGTCCGGCTGCCGCTGAAAGTGCCTCTCGAGCTGCTGCCGCGCAGTAACTATGCTTGGGCAAGAGTTCAGAGTTTGGCACAGAATCCTCGACTCCGGTAGGGACTGATTTACCTAGTCTTTAATTTGTCTCTAATTAATTTCATTATTTTTTCATACCCAGAGACATGATGGTTCACCTTTTTATCACATCATTGTTATCTTTCTTTTCAATGCCCTTTTGAATTTCCAGCATGCACATATCCAGTTAATAAGTAGGTAAATGGCCTCTTTAAATTGATGGATTATTCTTGACCAGGATCTGCTCCAAAGGCATTGGCAATGGCTCTCATAGGAGCGGTACAAAACTGTTAACTCACTTGTTCTTCAATTCCCATCTCAGTTGGGAGAATCTTGGTTTCTGCTCAAGGCACTGTATCAAATGCAAGGGTTATTATATTTGTAAGTAGCTGCTGCAAATCCATTTCCCATGGCTCAGTATTTTAGAATTTCGGTGTGCTTTGACATATTGTCACATGGTAAGGTTAACGCTAACCCTAGAGTCACAGTACCACAGATGGGAACCATCATTTGCAACTCAGAATACAGTGTTGATGTACTAAACTAGCGGAATATCCCTGAGGCTTGATTTCACTAGGAACTGCTTACGAAATACTCAGTCCTACCCACTACAGTAGTCCTGTGAGGAGCTTTGACATTATTTAATTTTCAGTGTGTTGCTGTTTCCCCACTCTGAGCACCGGGTTTTGTTTCCTATAGGATGATGGTGGAACTCCATCGGAAGGTTTCCAGTCTCATTGAATTCCTCAAACAGAAGTGGGCTTTACAGGAGGTTAGAATTGTATCCTTTTCATACATTAAGTAACCAGAGAGAACCTGAAACCAGAAGCCACACATGTAGCACTGAGCTGGGAACAACATTATGGAGTCAACACGTTCGCTACTTATTCCTTTTCTTTCCTCCTTCAAGCCTTCGGATGTTGCTGATGCTTTTCATTGTTTCCCTGTAAGTGGACAACTTGCACCTGTTACTTTGCTTCTGCTCATTGCTGTCTAGCACACACGTGTGTTCACATTTCTTACCCACTTCAAAAGTTTGCCCCCTCCCCTGCTTACTGTTATTATTTGAGTAGCAGAGAGATCTGATGATACCATAATGCTGCTTATGAAATATTTGCACGTTATGTAGACTGTCATCTTCCACAGCTAAAATCCACTCCACCAATTGTAATTCTTTTTAATTGAGGTTTGACCAAGGTTATGTCTTCAGTTTCTCCTTAACTGCCTGTTCCTCAGCGTAAGGCATTAGAGGAGCGTCTGCATGACTGTGGAGATGGTGAATTAGGGGTTGTGAAGCCCGAGGCTGAACTGCACCTGTTTCCTGCAGAGAACTGTACTTTAAACACATTGCCTGGAGTAGCCAAGGTGGTTCACTCAAAGGCCTGTTGCACAGTGCACTGGCAGGAGACTGGAAGGTGTAGACAGAGCATAAAAGATGCTCATTTACTGCCACCAGTACAGATCCTGGCTAGGGTCTCTGGCGCAAAAGACCCAAACGCTTCTGTCAGCCAGGCAGCACAGAGCACAGTGAAGGGGAACGTCAAACAGGCACGGGCCACCAGCAAAGTAGGGGGGTTGGAATCGGGAAAACACGGACCATCAACTGGAGAAGGAACACAAGGCACCGAGGATCAGCAGAACCCCTCATTGGAAGCTACTTCTGCTGAAGAGGCAGCTTTGCAGCAGGAGAGTCCCAAACGGGAAGAACTTTTAGATGTGGGGCAACAGGAAGTGCGAGAGAATGGAGACAACCCATTGAATTCTCCTAAAGCTAACTGTGATGTCTGCACTGAGGAATGCAATGATAATGAAGCAGTGCTGCTGGAACCTTGGATTCAGTCAGCGCTGCTGAGGACTGCGTTTGTGGGGGCGTCGTGGACACGGATGAAATATCCCTTTTGGACCCATTTCCTCGTTATATGAAGTCTTGTCGGAACTTAGTGGTTCCGGAGAAGTGTTTATGTAAGGATAAATCTGAAAAGGTCGTTGGTGGGTCAGATGTGAATGGAATTGCCCTTGACCCCAGTACTGTGCATTTGGGGAATGTAGAAGGGATGGACCTCAGCACTGAACCATGTTTAACATCAGGATTACAGTTACCTGGTGACACCATTTCAAAAACGTCCATGTCTGCTCCCCTGGATGATGGTGACAATACATCTCTTTCTGCTGAGTGCTCTCAGGAGCAGACAATATCATGTAGCCAGGAGGTGTCTGAGTTGGATTGCCCTGGGAGACGGGACTCTCTTGCTGCGGCCTCTCAGGGGCAGTCTGCTAACGCTGTTTCGAAAGCATCGAAAGATGATGCAGCCCACCTGGCCCAACCTGCACAAGAAGAGTGTTGGAACCTGAGAACAGCTGAGAATCTGACGCTGGCAGAAGTGTTCCTCATGTTGGGGAAACCCAGCAAACTGCAGATGGAATATGACTGGGTGCAGATCGAGCGGAATGAGGCAGAGGAAAGTGAGCAGACTAGGAGTTCAGGCCTACACACTCAGAAGCTACTCAAGTGCTTATTGCAAATTATCGCCACCGAAGTCAATCCCAAACCCGTGAGTATAATGGTCTGGGAAACGGGAGTCGGGGATTAGCTTTTAAAAGGATTTAATTTCAACCTTGGCTCGTCAGTACTGACTTTAATTTGATGTATTCTAGAAGTGTCTTGGTATTAAACCACTACTTTTACAACCATTTGTTACTATTTATACTTTTTAAGGCCACAAGATATAAACCATGTTATGAAAGGGGGGAAAAAAAATCTTTTTAAACAATTAGTATTACAGAGCTTTACAGAGTTGCTCACCATCTCTCTATTTTGAGTAGCGGTCTGGGTGGGGGGGTGGAATGCATAAAAGTGAATTAGCCTAATCCTGGTTTTGTATTGTACAACCTGCTGCCAGCAAACCTCAGTCAGTCTCCTTCCGCTGCTCTGATTCCTGTGACTTCTACATTAAAACTCACACAGTTCATTCTTTATAGTGTCCAGACACCAGCTCTGTGGCAACCTCTCCTATGAAGTTGAGCCACGAAGATCAGACACACACTCCTCCGGGGAAGGTGATCACTCTCGCACGCAGTCCTGGCTGTGTCAGAAATGCTGCAGGAATTCGAGCAAACAAAACATTATCTCCCACCACTGCTTCAGGTGAGTGCACTGACCAGGGCAGAAATACAAACCACAGTTTAACTGAACAAAGAAAGCTCTGGCTGTCAGGAGCTTTGTTGCCATTTTGTGCTGTCACTTTCACAATGGGCTGAATGCATTGTGAAATGAGCAGATGGTTGAGAAATGAAAGGCCAAGCCATAGGCAGTTGAGCAAGTCTCTTCTGATGGGCTGAACTGCCAGTCTTCATAATAATAATAATAATAATGATCCTTGCAATTGATGTATCACATTACTGAGCCATCTCAAGGAATATTGAGAATACAGTGTAGAACTGATTGTGTGGGTGGTGCTTGTGTCATTGGGATGTGTGTGTGGTGTTAGTGTCATGGGTGGGGCTGTGTGTGTATGGTGTTTGTATCATTGCGGGGGGGGGTGTTGTGTGTGTGATTCTTGTGTCATTGGGGTGTGTGTGTATGGTGCTTGTGTCATTTGTGGAGTCCTGTAGCTCAGTGGTTAGAGCACTCGCTTTGCAAGTGAGAGACCTGAGTTCAATTCCAGGCAGAGGGCGAAACCTTGGGCAAGTTTCCTTACTCCACACAGAGCCTAATAATAATCCCTCCAAAAAACCAAAAAAAAAAAAAACAATAATTAAATTGGTCATTTTCAATCTACGACTGTTTGTGGGACATTGCTGTGCGCAATTGGCTGCCGCGTTCGCCCACAAATATACAGTCAATTCATTTTACAGTGTGTTCTGTGAAGCGCTTTGGGACGTCCTCCCGACGTGAAAAGCGCTATATCAAATGCAAGGATTATTATTATTATTATTATTGGTGATGTGTGTGTGGTGCTTGTGTCATTGTGGGGTGTGTGTATGGTGCTTGTGTCATTGTGGGGTGTGTGTGTGTGTGGTGCTTGTGTCATTCTGGGGTGTATATGTATGGTGCTTGTGTCATGGGGGTGTGTGGTCATAGTGCTTGTGCCATTGGGGGGTGTGTGCGCTGCTTGTGTTGTGTGTATGTGTGTTGGGGGAGGCTTGTGTGTGTGTGTTGGCGGTGGGGAGGGGGATAGAAGATGTGTGTGGATTGTGGGAGGTATGTGGTGTCTGTAGAGAATGTGTGTATGAGAGAGTGTGGGTTTGGCTTCAATTTGGTCTTGTTTACAATTTTCTTGATTTCTTTGCCCGAGCAGGACTGCGTAATGTGCAGAAGAGCCTGGTGGTTTCATGTTCATCAGGTGCCACAGGAACCTCCAGCAATGATGCAGACACTGGCGTGTTTGCTGTTCCCACAATTCTGCCTCCGAACAGTAGACACAATAAGCTGTTCTCACCCAACAAAGACGCCGAAATGAGTTTCAGGCAGCAGCTGGATTCCTTCAGTGTGAGTTGGTCTCTTGTATGACAGATTTGAGGGAAAAGGAGTGTGCTGTTATGAATTGAGGTGTAGCGGGGAGGGTGTGAGAGTACCCTAACTTGTTATTGAGACTGATCTAATGTTGTATTATAGCACAGACTGCTAAGGTGGAGACTAGTTAGTTGGAGTGGGGTGTGAGTTGTCAGGACTGGCTTTTGAGTTCTGCGTGCGATTTACCTGAGACCAGTAGAATGATATATAAAACGTATTCAGCCGTAAAAAGCAAGCAGTGCGACCAGGTCACCATTGAATGTTGTTATACTGCTTTTCTAACTGATTGTATTTTCGCTTGTCCCAAAGGTCGGTTCATTTTAAGCTGGTGTCAGATATTGATGTGAACATTCCCTTGCTGATAGTGAGGACAGGAAATTGTGAGGCTTTGTACATATGTGAAGGAAATTAAATTAAGAAAAAATATATGATGGAAATATTCTCGTCAGTTTGCTAAAACATTTGTGATCGATTATAGTAATAATCCTTGCATTTGTTATAATACCTTATGTCATTGAGCCATCTCAAAACACTTCACAGAATATATTGTCAAATGAATTGACTGTATTTTGTAGACGAAAAGCGGCTTAAATGATTAAATCTAATGTTGGATTCCTGAGTGTTTGATCTAGGAACATTCTGCTCAGTCAGACAGTGTTTTTTGTGAGATGTTGGAGGGCCTTTGGGAAGGTGCTGGTTATTGTGGTGGTGATTGGGTGCTCACCACCTTACATCTCCCTTGTCATTTCAGAGACAGCCAGATATTTACCTACCCAAACAGAGGAAACTGCGGAATAATCGTCCACGCAAACCACTGGTGGTGCAGGTAAAATCATTCAGTGCTGAATGTCTTCTTTCAGTACAGATCAGGCAGAAGACATGCTCCTCAGCTCCTGTCCGCATGTCTTCACTTCCAGATCCAAACTCCGCAACCTCTAAAACTCTCCGAACTGGTGCACACCCTTGGCATCCGGTTCAACCCCCGTTTTTTGCTTCTCGTTCACATCCGTTCCCTCATCAACACTGCCCTCTGCCTGCCAATATCTGGACCACGCCAATGCCCGTAACCTCTGGAACTCCCTGCAGGTGGTGGTGGCGGCAGGGAGGGGAAGAGTTAAGAGGGGCCTCTAGATCTGAACAGGGTATAAGGTGTCGTACTTGGCAAGGGAATATCAGAATTAAGTAAACCCTCTGTGGTGGTCTTTGTTCTTGAGCCAGCGGGTTCTCAGTACTCCGGGGCCTGGCTCAGCAACAGCCCTTTGAGGCAGACTCACTAAGCGCAGTGATTCTGCTCGCTCTGCTCCTACAAACCCTGCAAGCCAAAGCTTGTAACAGTTAGGGTGGCCCTCCCTGGTCAAGCAGCAAGAAGCTTTCGATGGCAAGCTATGTGGTTAGAATTCCCAAGCTTTGGGTTTTGCCAAACTGCACCTAAAACTCCCTGGAGTTGGGTAAATAAGGTACATCCCTCGGCGGAAAGAGTGCATGTTCGATTATAGAATCGAGCCAGGTCTCTGTGGCGGTCTCAGTAGTCCGGTTCTTGAGCCAGCTGGGTCCGCAGTATTCCAAGGCATTGCTGATAACACAGGCAGCCTGGCTCATTGGCAGGACCTGGAAAGGCAGACCAGTCACTGCAGACAGGGAGTCATCCCACTCAGCTCCTGTTAACCCTGCAAGCCAAAGCCCAACAAGTAGGATGGTCCTAGCTGGGCAAGCAGCGGGAAAGCTTACCCGATAGCAATATCAATGGCAAGCTCTGCGGGTTCAACTGGTTAACTCTAACAGTTACCCCAACACAGACTCTGGAGACCCCAAGCCTTAGCTCTTGCCAACCTGCACCTAATACTTTCCGGAATTAGGTAAACAGGATGCTACCTCTCCGAATGTGCGTAAGATTGATTTAGCTGTTGTAAATGTTTCATCTTTTATTAAGAGAATAATTTATGAAAAGTTCAGTGTTGGTTTGATTTGGCAATAAATCCCATACTGTTTAAGTAGAAGCTTTTGTTTAAATCTTGTTCGGAAATTAAAGTTCTTAATTTTTCTGACCTTGTTACAGAGAACGCTGTTACCGCGACCAACCGGAAGTTCTTCCCCACACGTCTGTTCTTTTTCCATCTTATCCAATTCTTCTGCTGCAGGTAACTATACAGGAAGCAGATCAGTGGTGTCAAAAGGCTGTATATTTTACTCTTAACCTTTTTGAACCTGTTCGTCGACAAAGGTCACAGTCACCAAACTTCACCGTAAAAATCCTGTGAAGCACTTTGAGATCTTTTGCTGATGTGACCAGGCCCTAAATCAAATGCCAAAGATTATTATTATTTAAATAAATTCCTGGTTCCTCATTGCTCTGAGGGAAAAGAACGCTATGCTGGGTTAACGAGAGTGGCGATTTAGGCATATTTATAAATGCAGCCGGGATATTGACAGCATGATGACTTAAGTGATAGTGACATGTCAAGTTTACGGTATCTTATTAATATCAACCTTTGAATGTTGTTATGCTGTTTTTTAAAATCATTGTATTTTTGTGTCCATTATTGCGTAAAAGATCCAGTTCAATTTTGAAGTAAGTTCTTGTGTTCAGAGCAATGTAGCTTTGAAAAGCAGCAGCTAATTACTTTGTCGCTTGTTTGCGTGCTACAGGCTGTGATATTCTCTGTGTTTCCTGTTTTATAGGCACAGGCTCGTTCCGTCCTCTCCAGTCGTCTCTTTCCAAAAGCTCTCTAGCTCGTCCTATTGTTCCCAAAGCCATTCCAGCAGCTACCAGCCAGTTCTCCAGTAAGTTGTGACACTTTTGGAAGCCAGCTTTCCAAAACCTGTGCCGTCATAAGATCACTGACAATACACGTTCATTGGATTTTCTCCTCAGGCATAATTACCTGTGTCTCTGACACCTGACCCTTCTCCTCCCACCGAAAATAGTTTTAGATAAGCACTGAAGAAATGTAACTAAATAGATTGTCATTGTGTGTGCCATCTGTTTGCTGTTATCGCATAATCTCCCTGACATTGTCAGCTCACCTCAGAGCTCACCTCCCATGCCAGGGATTACCTGAGCAGTTGTAGCTCACAAGGGGGGGTTCAGCCATCTGCTTGATGCACTCCTGTGGTCAGTGCTGCACGTGTACGAATCGCAGCTACAACCCTGTATTTTACATGCAATACTCGCTACGAATATTGTTCATATCATTTTTTTTTCTGTGCTAGGTGCAATTGACCTGGCAGCTAAATCAGCAGGTATAATTCCAGGCAGCCCAGTGCGGGTCCTGGAGACCGAAGGATCACCGGAGTTAACATCCTTGTCAACAGAAGCAGTTTCCATAGTGACAGCAAGCCACGATCTGTCTTCTGTGGAGCAGAATGGGAGTGGGACAGCACTGAGCTCTACCGGGGTGAGTAACACCGGACTCCGCTCGTCCTCTACAAGCACAGATCTTCACTCTGACCCTCTGAAATCTTTCGCTCCGCCATCACCTCAGCTGCATTGTCCTTCTATTCCAAGATCCTCCTGGAGGCCGAGGACCAACCCCAGGCTCCTCTTCTGCACCACAAACCGGCTCCTCCATCCGTCTTCCCGTGCCTCGCCCATCCTCACCATTCAAATGTGAGGAGATGATGGACTTACTCGAGTCCAAAATCGAGGGGATCCGCTCTGCCCTTTCTACTGCCCTCACACCCCCTCCTCACCTCCCCGTCTCCCCCTCTTCTCTCTATCCTCCGTCATTTCCCGAATGAAGTCCACCACCTGCTCCTTTGACCCCATCCCTACCACTCCTCGCGTCCCAGCTCTGCCTTCTGCCCCCCCCCCCCACTAACAGACATTGTGAACCTCTCTCTGTCCACTGGTTTCTACCTCTTTAAAAACAGTTGTCATTATCCACTTCCTCAAAAAAAAATCCCCTTGACTCACCTCTCTTATCAAACTACTGTCCCATCTACAACCTTCCTTTTCTCTCCATGGTCCTGGAGCAAGTTGTTACTTTGCTGCTTCCTCTCCCTCCAATATGGTTTCCATGCTGCCCACAGGACAGAGACAGCCTTAGCCAAAGTTACAAATTACATTCTGCCATTTGTGACCAAGGCTCTCTATCTTCTCAATCTCTCTGCTGCCTTCAACACTGTCGACCAATCTATGCTTCTCCACTGCCTCTCCTCTCAGTTCCACCTTCATGGTTTTGTTCTGATATGCTTGAATCTGCTATAGATGTTTTAAATAAAGTTCCCTCACATAAATTTAATATTTTTCTGCACAGAGAGAACTTGACAAAAATATCCTTCAGAATGGTTTGTCCTCTCCAATGGCTGAGGCCCCCAGCTCCCTCTTCACATCTCCCCCGAACGTGTCTGCTCTCCTGGACATCTCCTTGCCAGGACCCCCCGATGACGTGCTGTCCCAGGGTGGGCCCCACAGCCAGATCAGTGACTCCATCATAGAACTTGCTATTAACTCCACTCAGTACATCAGTGGTAAGTGGGCAAGTGGACGCTTGCTTGGTTGGAGTTCATATATTACAAAGGGAAGGGCATGCTTACTTGAAGGATCGGAAACCACTCGGGCTTCTTTCTCCAGGCAGTATTGTAGGAATGATATAGGTAGTGTCCTCGTTCCCTGGCTAACAGTCCTTTAGAAACATTGTTCATTCACTATATGCCTGTATTTGGTACACAGCTGCTTGTAAATTGACTGCCACGTTTACCTATAAATACAGTTACTACACTTGGCAACAAGATTACATTTGTATAGCGCCTTTCACGTTGGGAGGACGTCCCAAGCCGCTAGGACAGCATTTTAAGACTCGAGCTGGGGTCGGGGGGGGCGGGGGGGGAGAGGGGAAGGGGTTAGCTGATGGCATGGTTGAAGAGGAGGGTCTTGAGGTGGGACTTGAAGGAGGCTAAGGAGGGGGCAAGGCGAAGTGATTGGGGGGATGGAATTCCAGAGGTTGGGGGCAGAGTGGCTAAAGGCATGTGAAACACTTTGAAATGTCGCGGTGTATTAGGTGTGGGTCAGTTGCAGGAGCGCTGTGGTACGTGCAGGGCAAGTGCAACTTTCCCACAAGTGTATTATGTTTTCACTGCGTATTGTACAGTATGTATAGCGCTTAACATTTTAGTGGTTGCAACTTTCTAAATTTGTAGAAGATTGCGATTTCTGCAGTTTCCGTTTGTAACCTGCTTTGATGGGATTTGGTCTCATTTAGTGGATCAGTTGCTGAAGTAAATCTTGTGTTTTACCAGGTGACAGTGCGCCACTCTCTCCGACAAAGCTCAACGGTAGTGATAGCTCGAAGAGTCTTCCGTCTCCTTCCACCAGTCCTCAGCGCAACTGGATTGCCTCTCCCACCCATGACCCCCAGTGGTATCCCAATGATTCTGCTGACTCCTCCCTGGGCAGTCTGCTATGTAAGTCTGCCTCTGTTTGTCTCCCTGAAATTCATTCTGTTTTTCAGAGTTGTCTCGTAGCAGCATCTCTTTGAGAAGAAAGCTTGTAATCTCTTCAATTTATAATTTCCTGTTGAAGCAGTAATCTGCCTGTCTTGTCAACCCCACTTGGTTCTCGGTTGTAGAAGATTGACCATGTCATGACATGATCGAGGAACTTCTCTGTTGTTGCCAGTTTGTGTGCTCTCTGTCTGCCCTGGGCTGTGGTGTACCCTCTTTGATATCAGATCTAATAATATTCATTAATAATAATTCCTACGATAGTAGGACTAATAATAGATTTCCTTTCTTTGTAGTATTTTCTTCAGAAATAACATTCTCATTGAATAACAACATGTTTCCCATCACCTCTGTTTGTCATGTCAACTGTTTCATCATCTTTTAAAACAGAAATATTGGTTTAAAATAGCTATTTTCCTCCTCCATTCGCACCTCTTTTTTAACCCCATCCCCCCAAAAATTGCCAATTCTGTGGCCTTGGTGAGCTTTATTTAGTATTTGCATAAGTGGAGCTAGATAATCAGGTTCATGACATTCTGGTCACAATGTTCGATTAAGTATTCTTAAGGCAAAATACTGCAGATGCTGGAAATCTGAAATAAAAACAGAAGTCGTTGGGAACCCTCAGCAGGTCAGAAATTATCAGCTATTCTTACCTGCAGGTTAGGAATAACCCCTGATTTTTATCCCTACATGGAATACAGAAACAAGCAGTTGAGTTTGACATTTTAATCCTTTGAGAAGTATCGCTGTGTCTTTGGGGTTTTGTCCTGCCAGAGGCACAGCAGGAAAGCAAAGGCACGGACTGCATTAATGCTCCACAGCTCTAGTAAATGTGAATGCACATCCTCTTGTTTCAGCGAGCCTGATCTCTCCTGAGAAAGGCAGAAAGATGCTCACCAACAGCAACAGTAACTCCCTGCTCGGAAACAGCCTCCTGGATGGGAACTCCCGGGATTCCTTTGTGTCCCGCTCACTGGTGGATGTGTCTGAGGTAAGAACGGGAGTCGGGGCCAAATCACGTTCGTTCACAGCGCAGCACGACTTTACATTTTCACAGCGGCTTTCATATCAGGTAACGTGTGGGGCTGGACACCGAGCGAGCGGAGGGGCCGTCAGCTCAGTCAAACAGTCTGGTTTTCAGGATGATTTAGAGACAGACTAGGGGGTGAGACGGAGGAACAGAGGCAAAGAGTCCACAAGGTTAGCGCCTTAGGGACTGAAGGCTCAGTCATTGCTGGTGGTGCGAAGAAGGCCGGGGACGCACAGTAAGCCTGTTAGCTGAGTGGAGGGGGCGAGCAGAGGGGTGGCTTGATTACAATTTACAAAGAGCGTACAAAACAGAAAAGGGCCACTCAGCCCAACTAGTCCGTGCACCCATTCATTTATTCCCTCCCTTACCCTTCTATGCCCATCTCCATTTACAATTCATATTTACACAGCACCTTTCACCTCACAATAACCTTTTACCTTTATTTTATTTTAACATTTTCTGGCGGCAAGTGTAAGGTGAGCAGTTTGTCAGCCTTTACTCTGGGGGGAGTGCAGAGGAAGGAGGGGAGAAGGAAATGTGAACTGGAATGTGTCGCTGTGAATGTTACAGACCTGAGCTGAATGCGAGATAATGGTCTGCTTCTATGTTGTACAGGTCGACTCTCAGCTGGTGTGTATGATGAATGAGAACAGTGTGGATTACATCGCCCGATTTAATGACCTTGCCCAGGAGCTCTCGGGGGCAGAGCCGTCCAGAAAGGAGATACTTTTCGACAGCGGAACTCCGATCGGTGATCTCTCACAGTAAGGTTGTAACTGAGTGAGGGGCTGTTTAAATAAGAGTCCTGTTTCTCAGCACCTTACCGGTCGAGCAGCCATCGCAGGCACTGACTACTGGGGAAAACATTTGTGAATGACACCGAGAGAGTTTTAAAATGTGCAATACACTGATCAAGCTTCCCAGGAATCAGTATTAGACAGATGATGAGAGTGAGCTGGCATCAGTGGCACTGCGTCAACTACAACACAGAAGTCAAGCTGGTCCCGAGGTTTGGACTGAACACTAGGCTACAATTCTCTCCCTGATTTTCAACCGGAATCACTATCGCAGCGTGCACTTGGAATGGCCACTGCTGGTTGTGTGTGAATGTAGGGTTCTCAAACCAATCTGGAACTCTTGGGGTTTGTATTGAGTGTTCCCCAGATTGATTGTGTTTAGAGAGAATTGTACACATTTTTTATTGATAACACACCGACTCTTGTACTTCAGAATGAACGGGAGCTGCCGGCCTGTGATACCGAGTGCTGAACTGCCGTTTGAAAGAGTAGACAGATAAGCAAATTGTATTAATTTAGAAAATAGCACCATGTTTCCAATGTTTCAGCACTTTTTCAGGCTGTGTTTGGTGTCAAAAAGCACAGAGGTGATTTTTAGTATTACAGAAAAATGTTAATAAGACAGCAATCCATAAGCAGGAGGCTTGCTCCAGCCTTGTTACCCATATTCCATCATACTCTCTGTAACTTTTATATTCGTTTTAATATAAGGCCATGCTTTTATTTGTCCGTCCTTTGCTGTGGTTTGCTACAGCTAGGCCCAAATGATCTGGAGTGGAAATTATGGCTGGGTGTGTTGTGTCTACTAGGTTTGCACAAGCTCTTAATTTCTGCGTCAATGAAATAGGAAGGCTTTATTTCTTTTTTTAGAAAGAATGTGATTTCTTTTTCTTTCTCAGTGAGGGTATAGATTTCTCTGTGAGTTCAGGCGTCACTTTCGGAAAGTTCCGAATGCAGAGTGATTGGTTTGTCAGAATCCAAACCTTCAGTGTTCTAAGGTGAAGCAGTGTTGAATGGAACGCTATGACAGACCATCGCTTCACCTTCAGCAGATTGCAGGTCTCACTTCACACTGAGAGCCATTGAGAGCTACAAAGGGGTGTGTGTGCTTAGTGCAGAGAAGAAAAACAGGGCAAACAAATTTAACTCTTGCAAATCTCTGCTGTCAAAACGGACTTGCAAATCCATGAGCTAGACCAGCCCTGATACTTGTCCCATTGGGAATCATTGATTAAAGATTAGTTCAGAGTAGTTAAGTGCATTGACCAACTGTATGACCGCCTCAACAGGTTTCCTCCGACAACACTTAGCCCTGTTAGACTTTATAGTAATAAACTTTGCATTTGCTTTAACTTTGAGATGATGACTCAAAAGCGCTTCACTGGGAATTATTGTCAAGCGTAGTGACCGTATATTTGGAGGCAATGCTCCACAAACAGCCATGAAGCGAATGACCATTTTTTCTGGTGATTTGTTGACCAGGACACTGGGAGAAATGCCTTTCACTAGTCTTACTAGTTTCGGTGAGCTAAGTGTAAGTACTGATGACTATACTAGGGTGAGACCTTAGCTACCAAATGAAAGATTGTAGGGTGGCTTAGGTCTATAATAATAATAATAATAATCCTTGAGTTTGATATAGCGCTTGTAAAGTGGAGTGACTGTATTTTCTGGGAGAAATGTGGCAGCCAATTGTGCACAGCAGTGTACCACAAACAGCTGTGGATTGAGTGACCAAATTTTTTTTAAGATAACTCGTAGTACGGTCCTCAGTAGCTATCAGTCTGAGCCTCATGTTTACCTTGTGCATAGCTGAACTTGCAAAAATCTGGACATCAATAGCAGCTTAAAATTACAACATTCAAAACTTATTTTTCTTAATTTTGAAGGTTTTTCAGTAAGTTTATTTAAAAACTATAGTAAAACCCACTTCAAAGTTGAGACTGATTTCAACAATTTGTCAAATTCTGGAAGCACTGAAATTGAGAATTTCTCACCCGAGATTCTCCTGAATGTGTTCCCTTTCCCCACAGCTAAATTGGGACAGCTACCTTTACTCTCCCATGTGGATTATTATGGTGGTGGTTATCTTGATTCAATTAGTCTACCTCATAATTGCCCTTGAAACTATCTGCCTCAAGGTACAGTGTATTGTGCTTAAACGCATAAAGAGCACTAGCCAAGTGGCAGACAGCTGTGTTTTAAGTAGTTCCCAGTGTTTGACTGGACCATGTAAGAGTTTGCAAACGATTTAGTTTTTTCTCTGAGACCCTGAAGTCCGTGCTCACCTTTTCTGAGTCGTGTGAAAAGTCCATTCGTCCTGTCACGGGCTCGGTTTTCTCAGCTCCTTCAGCCTTTTCACAAATATGTTTTTGTTCAGTTTGGGTTTTCAGCTTCTTCTCCAACAATGTGGTGGCCAGAGGTTGGCCTTTTCTAAGCAGTTTATGAAATGCATTTTAATTATTTTTTTAGTGGGTTTAATGAATCATAGGCACTAATAGATATTTGTAATGTCCAATATAACCCCAAATATTATTATTACTAAAGGAACATTCATATGTTATCCTTTCATACTGTTTCTATACTTGCTGTTCTTCAGGCTGTGGATGTTCCAATATCGAATAGAAATGGTGTCTGGTTTTCAGCCTGTAGAGCATTTCACCATCTTGATAAACTGATGGGCGATTTAAAGTTAACCATAAGTTGTTTTTTTACCTGCACAAAGGTAAGCTACGGGATCGATACTGGTTTAATTTAAATTAATTTTGAAAAGCTGTGATTAATTGTCTACTGCTTTTAAAGCATCATTGTTGGACGATGTATTGTGATGTCTCTTCTCGTTTGGTTGTTAAGAACTTTCTGTCCCAGTTCCTGGATACGTTTTTACATATCCATTCTCTTAATTCTCTCCACCCAGCCAGAAAATAAAATTATATATTATTTGGTTCCTGGTTCCCCTAAGCACACAAACCATTCTCTGATGCAAGAGAACAGCTAACTCTTTCTTTCCCCCTAGCTGCTGTAAGTGAGTGACTGACTGCTGAGTGAGTATCTGATAGTCTTTTGGATAGATTCCCTCTAGCTTTTCCTTCCTCAGGCACTGTTCTTTCAGATTGCATAACTATAACTGTGCACATTACAGCTCTGTTCTGGTCACACAGTATCACTGGTAAATTGTATGTGTGTTGTACAGACTTGCGGTTTCTGGGGGTGAGAGTTTATTCACAGCTCTTCTGCTTTAGAACAATGTGGAGGTTTGTGGCCTTGAGATTGTAAAGCCCTTCTATTTGAATGATTTCTTCCACTCATTGGAATTTCTGTGAGAACACTGGCTGGGATCGCAGAGTGTTGAGCTCTTTGGCCCTCATGCTGTACTAGTTATGGTGTGAAAGGCAAGATACATAGGAACAATTTCAGGCAGAACATCATTGCTCCCCCCTGGCCTCCTTGCCCAGCTAGAGTCCTGTTGTTAGTTGCACTACTGATGGTTTGTTAGCAGTGCTCTTGCACTTTAGCACACCATCAATGTCAATGAACAAAATAAGCTTCTCGCAACTGACCAGTGCGATGGTAACTGGATCACAAGTGCTCTGGGAGTGTTGGTATTGGGTTTGTAAACCATTCTGAGGTTGGGATGTACAGTGTGTAAAGCTAACTGAACACAAGCTGTATATTACTGTACATTGTACATTAATTTTATTGCATGGAATTACATTTGTACAGTTCAAAAAAAGTTCAGTCCATAGATAAATGTATTATAATGTACACTTAAGGAGTATTGCGTATACAATGATTGCACTTTGAACGTGGCAGCAGCTGGCACCCTCCTGCTGCAGATCACCGACCACAGGGCAGGAGGTTGTCCACTTTCCTAACGCTTTCTAACTGAAGCTTTGAATCTTAACTTTCATGTTTCAGACAATTTTGAAAGTACTTTGGGTGAGTGTTGTGTTAGAGAAAGCTTCCCCACCAGGCACCCTTTTTTTTAAATGAGCTGAATGGAAGAATTGTGATTAACTCAACATCCTTTTGTTTTGTTTTTTTAACAAAAAAAAGATTGTTTTTGTTCAGCGACTGAGGGCTCCTGATCTATCTGAAGCGACTGAGCAGGAGTTTCTGTAACTGGCCGTATGATGGAAGAGGACCAGTATATCAGTGTATATCAGTGACTATCAGTACCTTGCATGGCCTGAGGTATTGCAGATTCATCTCCCTAAGGCCTACAAATCACAGAGTCAAATGTACAAAGATTTTGTTAATATCCATAAAAATGCAGATGTTGATCCTATTTCCCCAGAGGTGTGTTTGAAGGTGTGGCTGAGGAAAGGCTTTGAAGCTGATTGATGCACTACAGCCGCAGGTTTCCCTCCAGTTTGGGAGTCGGTTCAGAGTGGCTTTTTGTGCTGTAAATATTGTACAGGAGCAGAAAATAACATTTTGTTGATAGATTGTTTCTGATAAAAAGCCATATCAGTTTGTAAAGGTTTTCAACCCTTTTTCGCATGTGGAAACTTAAACTATTCATAAACTGTCCTTTCCTGATCTTTGTACCAAATGTGTAAATTATTTTTGACTATTTATTCTGTATGATTAAGATTTTTTTGTGGTTATTTAATATGCAAAGAAGATGTTGAACTTCCCCATTGGGTTCTTTGTTTAACCTGTAGAGAGCTGTTTTTTATTCTTGCCGATAAACACATTTTAAATAAGCAATAGTGAGCGGATTCCTGTTTCTCCTTTATCCTCTTCCCGAGTGGTGAGTGCCCCTCTCGATCTCCCAAAGTGTGAAGTTGGAGCCATTTTAGGACTAAGTCAGCAGTACCTCACTAACCCCATAAGGAACCTCAGTATATTGCAGAAAGGTGTGAGAATAATGGGATCCTTCTATAGGTGCTCCAGGAAGGTACCACTTAGTGAACAGTGACAGTGCCCACAACTGGACACAATCCTCCAGCTGAGGCCTAACCAGTGATTTGTAAAGGTTCAACATAAAAGCCATAAAAGCAGCTGAATGTGGACAAGATGGAAGCCATATTCCTCATCTCCTGTCAGCGTCTTCACTTTTGTGGATCTGAACTCCTCAACCTCCCTAAACTCTCCTTTGCAGTCACTGAACCAGTGCGCAGTGTAGGCATCTGGTTCGGCCCCCAGGTGTCCTTCCTTCCCCACATCCAATCCCTAACCAGGACGGCCTTCCACCTCCAACTGTAACTTATCCCAAATGAGTCGAAACCCTTGTGCATGCGTTTGTCACCTCCCGCCTGGATTACTCAAACACATTCCTTGCCGGTCTCCCCAGCTCCTCTGTTCAAAACATCCAACTCATTCAGAACTCTGCGCCTGCAAACTGACCTGACCAAACTCCGTACCCACATCTCACCAGTCCTGGCCCAGGCTCCACGATCGACTTCAAGATCCTCACACTCGTGTTCAAATCCCTTCACTCTCTGGCACCTCCCTACCTCTCCGACCTGCTCACTCCCCAATCCACCACCCGGTCCCTCTGCTTGACTGGCACCGGCCTCCTGCTCGTCCCTCGCACCACCATTGGAGGTCGCGCTTTCAGCCGCTACGCCCCGAAACTCTGGAACACTCTCCCTCAATCCCTTCACCTTGCCCTCTCATTCCCCATTTTTAAGTCCCACCTGAAAACCTTCCTCTTCGACCGTGCTTATGGCCACCTCCCCGACTCGGGAGTCAGGCTTTGCCACTCTTGCGTGCTCTGAGATCCTACCTTACATGGAGGGTGCTATATAAGTGCAAGTTGTTGTGTAACTTCCTTGCTTTTATGCCTCCATTTATAAAGTCAAGCATCTGATATGTTTTTTTCTTAACAGCTTTGTCAACTTGTCCTGCCACCTTCAATGATTTGTGTATGTGAACCCCCAGGTCTCTTTGTTGCTGCACCCCCTTTAAATTTGTACAATTTATCTTATATTACTGTTCCTCAGTCCTCCTTAAATGCATCACTTCACACTTCTCTGCATTAAATTCCACCTGCCATGCGTCTGTCCCTGTCTATGTCAGGCCGGCGAAATCCTTTAATAAACCTCCACATTACTGGACTCTAACCCCACCTCCTGCGCCCACCAATAAAAAGTAAAAAGAAACAAGTCAAGTAAAGAACAAACTTTATTTCATTACAATTTGTAAAATAATAGAAACCCTTTTGGGCTGTGAGGTTTTCCTCACTTGTGGAATGTGTGTAACTATATACAACATCCTTGTATCAACAAACAAAATCTCAAAATGAAGCCACTAAATGGAATTCACTACAATCAAAGTAGTTTATCCTGAAATCTCAGGTTCAGTTTGTTTCTGAACTGCTGTGTCTGCCTTTCCCTTTTGTTAAAAAAAACTTCCATTTCAGCCCATTACAATGAGAGGACAGACCTGTGAGCAACACATTATATATCCTTTTGCTTAAACTCAGTAGCTGGCAATGGCAATATTTTTTTATTGAGATTTCTAACAAGATTAAGAACTGCAACTGTCCCATATGGTGGTAGATCTATTAAATAATTAATCACTCTAATGTGTATTGCTGCTTTGTGGCATAGATTATACCCACTGGATATTCAGCTCTTGGCTCAAAGTATTAAGGGTGAGAGTGAAACAGGCTCTTTCCCAGTTGGAGTTGTACCCAGTGCAAAGATCAAATCTTTACAATGCTTTATGCAGACAAGAATGTTTTGAACACTTTAAGGTACATTTGTTGACTGCCAGTAGGTGTTACCTTCCACGAAAGCCTGTGAATTGGCACCAACAGGAGTGTGCTGACTTTAGACTGGGTTTGGGAAGGAAATCCCCAAACATTCAAAATGGCCAGGGCGAGTTACAAAATCAAATTCATATCACAGAATTCGCTCCCTGGTCAACGAATGTTGGATGTAGAAAGTTTGGGTTCTCCTTTGTCTTCCCCGCAGTATATAGCACAGACATTAAAAGTTGATGTTTCCCCCTGAAGTGGATGTGACCGATGTGGACAAGGCACAGAGATTCTAAACACAGTGAATCATCTCGATGGGGCATGAACTTGCAATTGGCCAATGGATTACACCATATAGGATACCCTCCCTGAGACCCCCTCCCCAAGGCTCTGAATCCCCAAGGCCACTCAACAGGAACAGAGTCTCCCCACAACTCAAACCGCTCAGATTTTACTTTGCTGCAGATTCAAACCCTTCACTGTTTTACTCATAATTCCCCTTTGCTACTGTACATATACTTACCTTATACAAAACAATATGAAAGGCAACTTTAGAGATATGTCAGCACTCATAAACTTTACACAAGTCTCTACGTAACTATTCAATTGGGGAGACACAAGGTTAGTCCTGGGAAGGTTGGTGCCTGCTGCCTGCACAAGATGGAAGCGAATGGAGAAAGACAGCAAAATGCCAACACCAACCCTGCAATGGTGTCAGTCACTTCAATAAGATTCTTGTTGTTTGGAATCTAAGGATCAAGTTTCATCTGTAAACATCTGGACAATGGGTGAATGGTGCATTCATCACTAGGAAGGATATTTACTCAATAAGCAAGTCATTGTGTTAGTGCGGACCATCAGATAGATCTGTAGTGAAATCCCTTTTGGTAATTGATCCGAACAGATAGAAGCCACTGAGGCAGAGAAAGAAAATGGGTTTTGTGTCCATGCAAAATTCCAACGCATCTTAAAACAATTTGCAAACAGATAACACAGCAACAGTTTTTCCATTTGACTAGTTAAAAGAATTTCAGGGTAAACTATTTAACCTTTAATGATTATTCCTTGTTGGGGCTGGAGCTTGTTGTTGATGTGTATAAAGTGTTGGGAAACATGGCAGAGAGACTCACATCCAGTGGGAGAGCAGTTGTTGTGCTGGGCTGGCACTGCCAGGTGCTGGCACTGCCTGTTTCAGGTGTATTCACACAGGTGGCCGCAGCCAGCCGGGCAATGGGATCTAGTCCTCAGCCAGTTCATGATGTGCTGCAAGTGTCCCCCGTGGCTACACCCCTGGCACCAGACAAACAGCCCTTTCACCACCTGGTGGCAAACAGCACACATACTGGCACACTGACGGCACCTGGAAGAACAACAACAACACTGGTCAGACAGTCATGGTGCTTTTGTGACTCTCCTGTGCTACCTGCACACAGGCCAGTTATTGTACAACTTTAGTTCCAGATTTCTTTGCAAACTCCAAAAGCCATTTGTATTAGAAACATTCCAAAGCAATCACACAGAATTGTCAATTGTTATATTATGAAAAAAATTAACAATGTGATAAGGTGTTATATAATAATAATCCTTGCATTTGATATAGCAGCTTATCATGTCTTTGAGACGTCTCAAAGCGCTTCACAGAATATACTGTAAAGTGAAGTGTATTTTATGGGTGAAATGCAGGAGCCAATTGTGCACAGCAGTATGCAATTCATATCAAATGCAAGGAATATTATTATTACATGAGATGGGGCAGGGGAGGTGGGAGATCGGGGGAGATAGGGGCGTGGGGAGTGGGGTGCTCAAGCTGTCAGTAAGATTGGGAAGGTTAAATTCAGCTCCTCTCCCTCGCTGCAGTTACTGCCTACCTGTCACAGATCCAGCCCTTGCTGCTCATTGGCCGTTTACAGTTACTACAGTTGATGTGCAGGGTGGTGGATTCCTGGTTTAAGCAGTTGATGGAGCTGCACGTGCTCAGTTTGATCACTTGGTTGGAGACGTTCCACAGTTTGAAGCGCTGCAGCACGTCGATGTAGGAAGTGTACCAGTGCTCCTGGCGAGACAGGCCAACAGGCAGCTTCAGTCAAAATCGTTCAGCAGTTTCCCACAGAAAGGTTCAGTACAAAAGCTTTACCCGAGCAATGGCGTGTGTCAACACAGCTCAATAAACTAACTAACGTGTTAACAGTGCCCCATAAAACTAACAAACAAGGCAATGGAAGCTTTTAAACCTCATCTCAAGATTAATATGGATATAAAAACAGTTTATAGTAATTGGAACAAGTCTTACTTGTGTCTGCTCATCAATTTCCTTGCGTATTCGGTCACCGAGTACAATGAGGACTGACACAGCCATCTGCACATCTCCTTGCTCTGCATAGTAATGCAGCATGTCTCTGACCAGTGGGTTGAAGTAATCGGAGGGCAGGAAGGCATCGTACAGAGGCTGAGAGATTAACATCAGGGAAAAGGATTCGATGGGAGTTAAGCACACGGTCTCGGCTTCATTGCCGCTGACGTGTGGAGAATCCACTTTCTCCTGCAGGTGGTCCGGCGCCAAAGGGTTATCGATGATCTCATGCCGGAGCGGGAATGCTTCCTGAGGGAGAACATAATCCTGCTCCTCTGCTGAGAGAGAAAGAAGAAAGGCATTAGGCCAGGAAATATTACACTAAAAAGACCAGGAACATTGAGTACACACCTCAAACCCCGTGTTTTCAGTGGGGAAAAGCATAGCTGATGTTACTGATTGTGCAGTGGAACAGGACCAGAGCTAAGGGAAGCATTGGGAGTATTTTGCTGAACGTGAGCACACTCACCAGGAGCGTTCTCGTGGTCGACCATATATAAGTCATCTTCATCTCCTTCCACATCTCCAAAGAAGTAATCAGCTGGCACGTCGCTGCCTTCAGTCTCCTCGTTCTCTAAAGCACAAAAAGAGCAAGAGAGCAATAGAATCAGCAACACAGGGTGGTGAGGCAGAGTAATACTACTAACACAGGGTGGTGAGGCAGAGTAATACTACTAACACAGGGTGGTGAGGCAGAGTAACCAACACAACAAAAGTACATTTGTATAGCTTCTTTCACATCGGGAGGATGTCTCAAGGTGCTGGACAATCAGTGTTTCGGACCCGAGCTGGGAGTCGGGATCGGGGAGGGTAGAGGGCAGTGGGGGAAGGAAAAAAAAAGAAAAGGAGGGTGATCGAAGGCACGGTCGAAGAGGAAGGTTTTGAGACGGGTCTTGAAGGAGGAGGTGACGCGGAGGGATTGGGGGATGGAGTTTCAGAGGGTGGGGGCAGAGTGGCATGAGGCCTGCCCGGCAATGTCAGGACAGCAGTGGTCCTGGAGTCGAGGGTGGAGGCAGAGAGATCAGTTGGGTGTTATCCACATACATGTGGAAGTTAACCCCATGCCCGAAGATGATGCCACCAAGAGGGAGCAAATAGATATGGAAACGGAGGTACCAACAAGGTGGTGAGGCAGAGTAATAATACTAACAGCGATGAGGCAGAGTAACGCAGCACTAACACATGACATACCATCGAAACAGCGATGAAACAAATGACACAAATACCTTCATTTGCAGTAATTAAAGGGTTGGAGGAATCTAAATGATTACTCTCTTGCCAGTTCTCCGACTTCCCTCTCTCCAGCCTGGCCTCGTTCCCCAGGGCGGCCGAGATCTCCTTAAAACTAGGAACAAAATAAACACAAAGTCTCAAAAAGCAGAAAGTGAGAGTTCCCTGCTCTAGCTATAGTGTTCTGTATGCTTTGACGATAGTCCAGCCTTCCTCTGGGATGCTACCCCATGTGAAGGGTGCTATATAAATGCAAGTTATGGTTGTGTCAATGCCTAGGGACTGTCCAACCAGAGAGACACTGGGTCCCTCTCCCTTTAATAATAATAATAATCCTTGCATTTGATATAGAGCCTTATCATGTCTACAAGATGTCTCAAAACGCTTCACAGAATGTACTTTAAAGTGAATTGACTGCATATTTTGTTGGTGAAAAGCAGCAGCCAATTGCGCACTGCAGTGTCCCACAAACAATCGTGGATCGAATGACTAATTTATTATTAATAGTTTACCGTCACGTGTTGTCACAAGGTCTTTCACCTCTGCAGCTGTGGGAGTGCACCCCAGTTCTCTTGGCAGGGAACAACAGCAAAATAAATTACTGGATTATTAAGCACTAAAGACACAAACTAGGAATTTCCATGTTAAACGAAGCAGAAAGGCCGAGCCGGGAACCTTTCCTCGGTGAGATACGTGGAGCTGCTGGATTCCCAGCTCCGCATTCATCAGCCAGAACCATAAACAGTGCCCTCGCCAGACTCGGAATTCTCTGTCGCTCGTGCTCTCCCACTTTCTGTCCTACCTGTTCATTAGAGGCAGGGCTCCACTCTTGCCGATACTCTGGTTCAGGTTGACAGGAGCGATGGCCCCTGGGTTAGAGTAGACAATCCTCAGCATTGTCCACGTCTGAGCCACCTGGAAGCAGAGGAGGAAGACGCACAATAAAACCCTGGCTCTACGACAGGCTCATTACATCGGAAGTGTCAGCAAACAGTGACACAGTGTAGCTGGACAGACATTCAAATTCCCCTTAATCTCAGCCACAATACGCTAATTCTCACCTCAGGCACCGACCGTAATGACCCATACAGACAATCATTCCAACTCACAGAGCCAGCGAAGCAGAGCCTCAGTGTCTTGTTCTATCCCCAACTCTCCTTCAAACTCTCCTCCCCCTCCCTCGGCTTTCCCTCAGCTCCACACCTCGCTTAGCTCCACTGCTACCTCTCCCCCCAGACTGCCGAAATGCTCATTCATGCTTTAATAACCTCCAGGCTTCACTATTTCAAGGACCCTGGCTGTCAGACTCCTTAGCTCCTCTCTGTACAAGCTGCAGACTATCCAACACTGCAGCTTGTGTCCTTTCACGCACCGGGCTCCGCGAGTCCGTCACTCCCATCCCCCCAGCTGCATTCTCGGCTCAGCAAACGCGGGGCTGCTTCACTCCCTGTCGAATCAGCCCACCATTGTTGGTCAGCAATTTTGCCTTCCTCTCTGAACTCTCTCCCTGAGGGGAGCTTCATTTTCTCCTTGGTCTCCGTGACCCGTTTTACCTTGTACACTCCACCTCAATGAGCCAGTCCAGAACCTTGACGTCTTTTTTGACCCTCAACTATCCTTTCTACCCCACATCTGCGCCATAACCCGCTCTGCCTTCCCCCACCTCCACAACACCGCCCAGTTCTGCCACTGTCTCACACCGCAGGCGCTGAAACCCTCATACACGCTTTCAATACATCGAGGCTTGACCAGGCAAACTCCTTGCTTGTTGGCCTCCCCAACTCCTCCCTCCATAGGCTGCAGACCATCCAGAACTCTGCAGCCCGTGTCTTTTCCCGCACCAGGCTCCATGACCCTATCACCCCCATCCTCGCCCGACTCCACTGCCTTCCCATCACACAGAGGATACAGTTCAAGATCCTGGTTCTCACCTTTAAAGCTCTCCATGGCCTCACTCCTCCCTACCTCTGCGACCTCCTAACTCAGCGGGCTCCGGCCTGCTCCATGTCCCCCACCTCGCCCACCCCACCATCAGGCCTTCAGCCACTCTGCCCCAACCGTCTCGAACTCCGTCCCGCAATCCCTCTGCCTCGCCTCCTACAAGACCCTCCGCTTCGACAGTGCCTTTGATCATCCTCCTTCCCGCCCCCCCCCCGCCCTCCACCCTCCCCGATCCTCAGCTCGGGTCCGAAACACTGATTGTCCAGTGCCTTGAGACGTCCTCCTGACGTGAAAGGCGCTTTACAGACGTAATTTTTTTGTTGTTGTTATATACAGGAGAGGAATCGTGAGCGCAGATATGGGGTGCTGCCACCCCGAGGTGGTTCTGTATATCGGATTGTACCTGGAAACGGTACAACTCTTTGGCCACTTTGGCGTTGTGGTCGCAGAGCTCTGCCAGTGGCCGGCCAGTCAGGATGTACTGCCGCGCCGTCTGCACGAACCAGTCCATGGAGTTACTGCCGGCCTCGGTCTCGAACACGCTGAGAGCGCTCGACACATTGGCAAACTGTTCCGATAAATCCGGCTTCTTGAAGAAGAAGATGGGGTAGCGTCGGTCTCCGCCGTACGCCTTGTGGTTGGAGTCGGTGGAAAACGGGCTGTCTTTGCCGGCGAAGGCCAGGTCGCCAAACAGCCCGTAACACAGGCCCTCGGGGTTGGCCCGATCGACGGGCCGACTGGCGTCCCGGAACATGTGCTGGTATAGCGTGCTGTCCTTGGACCCCGAGAGCAGGTAGTAGGGCTCGTGGATGTGACGCCACACGATCCCCGTGGTCACGTCCTTGTGCTCCTCGAACATGGCGAAGGGAATGTACGGCCGGCGGACGTCCCACACATAGATATTGTGATCCACCATCATGGAGCAGGTGGCCAGGTGGTACTTCATCTCCGGGCGCCACTTGACACGCGCCACCGAAGCGATGGTCTGCACGCAGTAGATCTCCTTGGCCCGCGTCGTCGTCATGTCCCACACCTTTACCATTTTATCGCGGCCTCCGGTGGCCAGCCAACCCCTGCAAGCCACAAACCACACTGCGCTGTATCACTGACCGCCACGGTGAATTTCAATGCAAACTCCTCAATCCCACCCAGAGAATTCCAGACAAAAACTACAGATAATAATAATAAACCTCACGTTTGATCACCTAACTCAGCGGGCTCCGGCCTGCTTCATGTCCCCCTCCTCGCCCGTCCCACCATCAGGCCTTCAGCCACTCTGTCCCAACCGTCTGGAACTCCGTCCCGCAATCCCTCTGCCTCGCCTCCTACAAGACCCATCTGAAGACCCTCTGCTTCGACAGTGCCTTTGATCACCCTCCTTCGCACCCCCACCCTCCACCCTCCCTGATCCTCAGCTCGGGTCCGAAACACTGATTGCCCAGCGCCTTGAGACGACCTCCTGACGTGAAAGGTGCTTTACAAATGTAATTTTTTTGTTGTTATATACAGAAGAGGAATCGTGAGCGCAGATATGGGGCGCCTTATCACCTCGTTGAGACATCTCAAAGCGTTTCACAGAATATATATATATACATTTGGGGCAAAAGGTGGCAGCTTTGTCCCACATGGATTGAGTGACTAAATTATTATTATTATTTTTGAAGGAATTATACCCCCTTAATAGCGATCCGCCGATCAACTAACAACCAGAATCCTACTTGGTAAACAGAGGCGTGTGGAGTAAGGAAACTTGCCTAAGGTTTTGCCCTTCCCGGGAATTGAACCCAGGTCGTCTTGCATGCGAGGCGAGTGCTTTAACCACTAAACTACAGGACTCCAGATGTGGAACTCAGTCAGGTTGGGACACTTTTTTAAAAAAGAAAAATAAATATCCAGCTTTTTTTTCTAATTTTCTCCCCTCTGGCACCTCCTCTGCTCCTGGCCTCTTCCCATCCCAAGCCCCGGAGGTAAGACCTGCATGGACCTGGATTTCCTACCAGCGGGCTTGTGTTCCGTACACTGCAGCTCTGGCCACTACACCATCCGGGTTGTCCTGGTTTGGACACTTAAGCATGGTGATAAATAAATAAAATAATAATGATTTGGTCACTCAATCCATGACTGTTCTGGGACACTGCTGTGCGCAATTGGCTGCTGCGTTTCACCCTCAGAATATACAGTCAATTCATTTTACAGTGTATTCTGTGAAGCAGTTTTGAGACTTCTCGAAGACGTGATAATGCGTTATATCAATGCAAGGATTATTATGTGTCAGACACCCGGGCTGACCAACAAATAAAAACAGGATTCCACATGTTTGACAATGTCAACCATCTTGGCTCTAAATGCCCCGGAGTGCTCGCTCGTGCTCGCCCGCCCTCCCTCGCTCACCTGTCATCTGGGTGCCAATCACAGCAGAATACGGGCCCGTTGTGTGCTGTAAACATGCGCTCGTATCTGTCTGGGCGCCTGATGTCCCAGATCTGAACATTACCATTTTCAAACGAAGCAGCAAATGTGAAGTAATCTCTGATGCTGAACTGGACATCGCGCACACTCTCTGACTGACCTACAGAAGACAAGAGTTCCAATCACAAGGTTAGAAATGACATGCTCAACCTGGCTATTTATCTGACAACAACAAATTGCATTTATATCAAGCCTTTCACGTCAGGAGGACGTCCCAAGGCACTGGACAGTGAAGGATTTGCACCTGAGCTGTGGGCTAGAGTCAAGAAGGGTGGAGGGCAAGTGGGATGGGGCTGGGAAGATGGTCAAAGAGGAAGGTCTTGAGATGGGCTTTGAAGGAAGCAAGGGAGTGGTCAGGGGTTAGGATTTCCAGAGGATGGGGGTGGAAAAGTTGAAGGCCCAACCTCTAGCCTTTCTGCCCCCACCAAGACTTATCAGCACACATAAAATGTAAATGAATTAACCCAGAGGAAGCCAAAGATGGCAAACACGGCAAAGGTGAGTAGTTCGATTGGTCAAGCTGCATCCACCTTGGCAAACGATTTGCAGACACTCTGGACAGAGAGGTGCTGAGTTAGCCCAGGGCGCAGCGTTAGCACATTAATGCTGAGCACAGGAACAGGAATGCACCCAGTTTCAAGTTCCACTCTGCTCAGCTCCTCTCTGAGCTGCTGAGTACACAGACACATCAGAGCTCCATCAGAACTCCTTGAAAAATTTCCTGGTGTTTGGAATGCAAACTCTTGCCCTGGAGGAACACACCTTGCTTACCTAAACAGAAGAGTATCAGACGCAGGTTGGTGAGAGCCAAGGCTTGGGGCCCCCAGAGAGTGTGCTGCTGGAGTCTAACCAGTTAAAAGCACACAGTGTGTTAAACACGCAGGAAGTTATTGGCAATGGAATAATTTCCAGAATACAAACTACACAAGAAATGATACTGAGAGACATTGACATCGGATTACAACAACAACTTGCACTTATACAGGGCCCTTCAACAACAACAAAATTATATTTGTATAATGCCTTTCACGTCGGGAGGATGTCCCAAGGCGCTGGATAATCAGTGTTTCAGACCCAAGCTGGGGGTCGGGATTGGGGAGTGTGGAGGGCAGTGGGGAAGCAGGGTGGTCAAAAGCACGGTCGAAGAGGAGGGTCTTGAGATGGGACTTGAAGGAGGCAAGGGAGGGGGCAAGGCGGAGGGACTGTGGGATGGCGTTCCAAAGAGTGGGTGCAGAGTGGCAGAAGGCACGCCCGCCAATGGTGGGGTGGGCGAGGCGGGGGACGTGAAGCAGGCTGGAGCCCGCTGAGTGGAGGGAGCGGGCAGGTTCCTAGGGAGATAGGTCGCAGATGTTAAGGGAGAGCGAGACCGTGGAGAGCTTTGAAGGTGAGGACCAGGATCTTGAACTGTATCCTCTGTGTGATGGGAAGGCAGTGGAGTCGGGCGAGGATGGGGATGATCGGGTCGCGGAGCCTGGTGAGGGAGAGGACACGGGCTGCAGAGTTCTGGATGTCTGCAGCCTGTGGAGGGAGGAGTTGGGGGAGCCGACAAGAGTTTGCATAGTCGATGGATGTTATGAATGCGGGTATGAGGGTTTTGGCGGCCGGTGGTGTGAGATAGTGGCGAAGCCGGGCGATGTTTCTTCACGCCGGATGGCGTCTTGGCGCACTTAATCTCAGAGCCATTAGTTAGTGCTGAGGAGGTGGCCGGTGCTGCCTTTCCCTGCAGAAACTGGGCCTATTACCTGAGAAGGTGCTGACAGACTCTCTCTTCCTGAGGTCGAAGCATTTCATGTAGCCGTCCTGGGAGCCGCTCAGCAGCATGTAGCCCTCGGTCGGGTGGAAGCAGACTTTATTGACCGTGCGTTTGTGCTCGGTGAACAGCTGGTCCTGCTTGTTGCGAGACGGCTTCCCCAGGTTCCAGGTCACCACCGCACCGTTGGTGGCTGCCGTGGCCAGCAGGTTCTCCTCCACCTGATGCCACACCACGTCGGCACAGCTGAAGTTGAGGGACAGCTTGCGGCCCACACGCAGGTTGGCTTTCTCCACAAACTGCTCCTCCTCCACCGAGTAGATCTTGAAGATATTGCGTCCGGCCACCACTACCTGGGCGGCGTCTCTGCACACGCTGATGGCGTTCGCTGGCGCGTCCAGATGGCAGAACATCGTCCGACCCGTGATGGTCACCCCGCTCAGGGCCGTGGTCACCCGCGACATCTTCTCCATCGCGGAATATACTGCCAAAGTGCAACTGGGAAATGGGGTTTAGGATCGCGTCACCGACTTCCCTCAGTCTTGCCGCGCCTCAGGCTAACTCAGCAGATTGAGCAGTCTCCATTTCGTCCTTTTATTGGTAACTCAGCACAACGAGGAGTCACTTCCTGTCAGAGAGACCGTCACGGCTTGGGCAATGCAGACTGCCATTATCTCAGTTTTTATCAGTTACCATTTCCTTCAGACTCGATTACCCTCGTTTATTCCAGGAATTCTTCACTCAGACTTCCCCTGGATGCTCAATACCGACGGTTTCCCAGTGATTCTGTTCCAACGCAGAGCCCAGAAGCCACAAATCCCGGAACTCATGCAGATTTCAGTGCAATAAAATTCTGAAAGAAAAAAGTTTGAACAAAGTGATTAATAAAAATCTCTTTTAACCAAATATGTGGTTACCTCACCCCAATACCGATCAGTGTATTTCTTGTTGCAAATACTGTACAATGATTCACAATCTCTGGGTAATTGCGTGTCAGCTTGGCTCAGTGGTAGCGCTCTCGCATTGTCGAGGTGACGTGATGCTACCCCACGTGAAGGCCGCTATACCAATGCAAGTTGTTGTCCTTTTGGATGAGATGTTAACCTGAAGTTCCGTCTGTCGGTTCACGTGGACATTAAAGATCCTATGGGGCTATTTGAAAAGAGAAGGGAGTTTCTCTCACCCGATGTCCTGACCAACAATCCCCCAAAATAAAACTGATCACTCACTTCAAGGTTGTTTGTGCGACATCACTGCGCGCAAAACCGGCTGCCGCGTTTGCCCACAAAATACACAGTTACTACACTCTACAGTAAATCCTGTGAAGTGCACTGAAGAGAAAGCGCAGTCGAAGAGGAAGGTCTTGAGTCATGATTGGGAAAGGGGACCCAACCCCTAGGGCTCGAGGGAGAGAGGTTCATAGTTTGGGGGCGGAGTGGATGAAAGCGCAGTCACCATGAGCCTTACTGGGGAGACAGAGAGGGTCCCCAGGGGAGAGACAGAGACAGAGAGGGTCCCCAGGGGAGAGACAGGGAGGGTCCCCAGGGGAGAGACAGAGAGGGTCCCCAGGGGAGAGACAGAGAGGGTCCCCAGGGGAGAGACAGAGAGGGTCCCCAGGGGAGAGACAGAGAGGGTCCCCAGGGGAGAGACAGAGAGGGTCCCCAGGGGAGAGACAGAGAGGGTCCCCAGGGGAGAGACAGAGAGGGTCCCCAGGGGAGAGACAGAGACACAGAGTGTCCCTCAGGGGAGAGACAGAGAGGGTCCCCAGGGGAGAGACAGAGAGTGTCCCTCAGGGGAGAGACACAGTGTCCTCAGGGGAGAGACAGAGACAGAGAGTGTCCCTCAGGGGAGAGACAGAGACAGAGAGTGTCCCTCAGGGGAGAGACAGAGACAGAGAGCGTCCCTCAGGGGAGAGCTCGGGACACTGACCGCAATCAGCACACACACAGACCCTGTCCCCTCCCCCACCCCCCGCGCGGCCGCGGCACCGACTCGCTCTCACCTTCCCCCCACCCTCGGCCACTCACCGGAAGTCTCAGCCCGAGACCGGAAACCGTCCCGTGCGCGGCTTCCGTCCGTCACACACAAACACTGGGACCAAACGTTCCGCCTCCGCTTCCTCTTTGTGCGCCCGCGGCCCACTCCCTCCCTCCCTCCCTCCCTCCCTCCTCTGCCGCTCCCCACTCTCTACACCCGGACCCGCGCCCCCCTCACCCCGCCACCCCCCCCTCCCCCACCCCGCGGGGTCATGTTCTCAGGAGAGGAAATTTGCGGGGCGGAACTACACCTCCCGGCATGCCCCGCACCGCGCGGCCGCCCACGTGATCACGACGGTCGCCCCGTCACGTGCTCAGTAACCGTGACAACCGGCGATCAACACCAGCGGCAGCAACGACAACAACTGGTTTATAAAGCGCCTTCACGCGGGATAGCGCCTCAGAGCGCTTTAAGTGGATCCAAACCCATACCTCCCATCGACCTGTGGAAATAACAGCGATACATCGTCAATAATAATAATAATCATAATAATAATCTTTGCATCTGATGCGTCGCCTCATCACGTCTTCGAGACGTCTCAAAGCGCTTCACAGGACACTCTGTAACGTGAACTGACTGTGTACCCCACAAACAGTCGCGGATTGAAGCGACGAACGTCAGTAGCTGTTTACAGTCCCGGGGAGTCCTGGCGCTGCTGGACAGGCGCTGCCTCCTCCTGTCACTGCCCAATGTCACTGCCACCCACAGTCGCTGCTCACCTTCCCCTCCAAACAGAGCTGATACACTCCGGGCGACTAACGTTGGGGGCATTTAGGAAATGTGGGAAGGGATTTTTTTCGACACCGGGTCTCAGTGATCAGAGCCTCGTTTCGTTGATCTCAGTGCCAGTTCCAATCCTTCACTGAAGATGGATGTCGTGCTCTCTGTCCTCCATCACAGTAACGCAGCGTCGGTATTTCATTTACGAGTCTTGCGTTTGCTATCGTGCGCTCTGTCACGTCAGAGGGACGTCTGAAAGCGCTTCACGGGATTTACTGTGAAATGGAGCGACTGTGTCGCACAACTGTGCACAGCAGCGTCTCACAAACAGCCATGGAGTGAGGGACCAGTGTTATTTGGGGGATTTTTTTTCTAATTGCGAACTCAGTCCAGCGGCGGTTATTGTCTGGCGACGAGTTGGGGGTCACCCTGACACACAGAGAAGGTGACTCCCTCGTGATGTGAACCTTTTGAGAGCTTTTTGCACAGGAGCTGTCACTGCCGCTCGGTGCCGCGTTACACAGTGTACACGAGGGGGCGCTGCTCCACCACATCAGGTGCCGAGGCATATGTCTGCTGTGAATTTGCAGTGAGTTAAACACCGATCTAAAGTGCTCCAGGTTTCAGAAATGATGGTGAATGAACTGTTGTGCCTTAAAACTCTGGGTGAATGCAAGCTGTTCATCTCAAGGCAATCAGAATCTTCTGATAAATAAAGTAACGCCACAATTTATGACAATGTGAGCAAATTAATAGACTCCACTCCAGTTTGTCGGATTTCATCAGCTTCTGTCTATTCTTTATGTATTAAACTTCTCTTTAGATTCGGTTTCACTTTACAGTGGTTGATGTAGTAGACCGGCTCAATCATCCAAAGGAATATCACATTTGTCTTGTTTGGAACCTCATCTCATTTGTTGAATGACATAGTGATAAGAGAAAAATATTGATATGTTGTCTCAGTGTTTTCAACCTTATATTTCTGTATTTCTGTATTTTCTAAATGATTTGAAAAACAGACTTAGTATTTGCAGACCACTAGTAATAATAATCCTTGTATTTGAAACGTCACGTCAAAGAGCTTCGTAGGATTTACTGTGTATTTTGTAGATGAATGTGGCAGCCAATCATTTTTATTATTAATTTCAACACAGCAACGTCCCATGAACAGCCATGGAGTGAATGACCAATTTTATTTGGGGGATTGTTGGTCAGGACACCAGGAAAACCTCTCTTCTCTTTTTGAATAGGGCCACGGGATCTTTAACGTCTCTAACGTCCACGTGATCCAGGACAACTGGGTGAAGGTGTTTAGTTTAACGTCTCATCCAAAAGATGGCACCACTGACGATGCAACACTCCCCAGGTTTGACGTCCCATCCGAAGGATAGCCCCTCCGACAATGCGTTGGAGTGTCATCTTAGGCTGTGTAATTCCAAGTCCCAGCTGAGCCGGTCTGTCTCTGGAATGTGCTTATTCAACAAACATTGTCAGATTCTCTGACAGAAATATTCCTTTCACATGCATTCAGAGTAATTACCTGTCAATATCTTGGGTGGTTTGTTTTGAGTGAAATTTCAGTAATGTTGCTGTTGTGTAACCCTGTCACTGTAGTGCAATGTTGTACGCACACCCCTGGCAGTGAAGCTACATTGTCAACAGGTATCATTCCCTAAGGTATCAGTCAGCAATGACAGTGACACAGACAAACACAGGCACAGTGACAGTCATAGTGACAGTGACACAGACAGTCACAGACACAGTGACAGTCATAGTGACAGTGACACAGACAGACACAGACACAGACACAGTGACAGTCATAGTGACAGTGACACAGACAGTCACAGACACAGTGACAGTCATAGTGACAGTGACACAGACAGACACAGACACAGTGACAGTCATAGTGACAGTGACACAGACAGACACAGACACAATGATAGAGACACAGACAGTGACAGAGTGACAGAGGAACTATAATAAAGGAAACAAATGTTTAACATCCAAATTGTGCGACCATTATTTCATCATTAATTAAATAAAGGTAAAGTTTCCTTACAACCTAAACAGGTAGATGGGATCTTAGCTTAACATCTCATTCAAAGGACGGTAGCAAAACCTCATCAGAACTGCACTGGAACGTCAGTCTTGACTGAGTTCAAATTCCTGACATAGGGCTTGATTGAACCCACAACCTTCTGACTCGGAGGCAAGAATGCTACCGACAGAGCCAGTCTCTGACTTCCAAAATTGGTGGAAGGAACCCCCACCCCTTCGTGCTCAGAATCCTGAAACAGAACTGTTTCGGAACTGTCTTATATGTTCCAAACGTAACCTGCACTGGGAATCTGTCTGTCACTGAATGAGAATGATCTGACTGCTCTTCGATCCTTTTCAAATATATTACAATATATTACCATTTATACGGTGTGTTTCACATCGAGAGGATGTCCCACAGCGCTGGGTTCTGAAAGTGCAAGGGGAGTGGGCGAGGTGGAGGGACCCCGAGATCGAGGGCCAGAGAGCGGGGCAGAAAGACATAAAGTTGAGCGGAAGGGAGAGAGGGGCCGGGTCGGTAGGACAGCAGGAGATCACGGAGATGGAGAGGAGAGGGGTGGGGCGAGGCCATGGAGGGGATCTGAGTGTCTTAGCAAAAGCTGGTGCCCACCACAACTCCCAGAAACTTCTCACCTCTCACCACACGGGTGATTTGGGGGCTATGGTTAGGTGACTCTGCCACGCTGCGGATTGGCTGTAATCAACAAGAAGTTATCAAGTTATCAAGAACAAATTGCATTGATATAGGACCTTTCATATCGGAAGGACGTCTCAAGGCTTTGGCCAATGAGGGGGTTTGCACCCGGGCTGCAGGTTGGGATCAGAGAGGGGTGGAGGATAAAGGGGGTGGGGGTGGGAGGATAATTATCAGTGATACGAATGGCATCAGGGCATTTTGCCTCCGACACTGACCTGCTCTTAGTCTGATTCTCTGTTCTCCTGCCTATGAGAATCGGAAGCCACATAATCAACAGATTATGGTGACTCACAAACTAACACATTAGGATGGAAATTGTTCTGGCAACGATCAAAAACAAAAGGCATCATGTCATTATCAAACACAGAAAGCACATTTATTTTTATTACTGTATATTTTCTCTTTTTAAGTATATAAATTAACAGGTGCATTATATTCCTCTCAAGCCAAGTGTTTTTTTTGCAAATGCTTCTGGCACATATAATGATTCATACTGTATTATAAAATAAAATAGTAATATAATAATAATTCAGAGAATCCTTTCCTTTCTGCTCTAGTCAATAACTTGTCACTTTCCCTTTTTGAAGAAGGACAATCTTTATGAATAACCATACGCATTATGGAAAACTATTACTGAAATGATTGGCAATGATTTGAGAATAGAAAGATTATTCTCTACTTGTAGTTAAATCTATTAATCACTGTCCGCCATATGGTGTGATTTTCCTCATTGCTCATGTTATCAAAAGCAAAGAGTATTTAGTCACAGTCAATGTGACTGACGTGGCAAATTCCTTGGCAAGCCATCACAGCTTTATATTTTGGAGTTGTTTGTAATCAGTTATAATACACATCTGGCTCAATGTTCTTCCCTGGCCTGTCCCTAACACACAGATACCCTGTTAGCACATCTGGTCCAATATCCTAGAGACTGTGTTATAGTGGAGCACGAAAACATGGCTTGACTGCGCCAATTGGTCATCAAATTATAAAGTCAATTCACTTTACAGTGTATCCATTGAAGCGCTTAAGACGTCTCGAAGATGTGATAAGGCGCTGTATCGAATGCAAGAATTATTATTATCGCTATTATCAGTCGTCACTTTCTGCGTTCTTGAGCACATGCATGTTACGGGCAGGAAGTTCTCCTGCCGTGAAATTATGCTTCCTGGGTATAAAGTGCACAGTGTGTGGATGGCCTGACCAGCGAGGAGGCTGTGAGGGAGCCTTCTCTCCCGCAAGGATGAGCAGGTCACAGGGAAACCGCCATAAACTGAGCCAAGCCTCCAGTAAGGCAGTGACTAGCAGGGCTGCTCCACAGCAAACATGTCTTCACCACACACACTCATTTCGTACTCGCCGGCTCTCAGCTCTCATGGTGATCATTTACTAACTGCGACTTGAGTTTCTAAGGCTTTTGGAGTAAACATTAGAAAGTGGTTTGATCCCCGAGTATTGACTTCATTCCCCTGCAGTTCACGAACGTGAATCTATTCCTGATTTGCCCTTTGTCAAAATATGCAGCGTCACAG